TGGACTTACCTGGCACAGGAGCGGAGCTGTGACTGTATTGCAGACACATTACTGGGAGTCAGTAGTATGTATGGCTTTGAACAGTAATGATATCCGTGTAAATAATTGGAAAACAAAGACAAGATATTTGCACTGGCTGCCTGTCCCCCCGGACACAATTTATTATTATTATTATTATTACTATTATTATCATTATAACGCGACGAGTAAAAAAAAGGGGAAAAAATCCTCAAGAACAACCGGGGGGGGGGGATTTTTGACAAGTCGCCGGCTTCCTGTCCTCGTCGAGGCCACTAGAAGCCCTCCGGTAAATTCAGACACATATTAAGGAGCTGGACCTCACTTTCCCGTAGTTATTGACCCTGTTCTTAAGAGATTCCCCAATTTTGCACCCGCAAGATAACGTAAGATTTTGAGGGTTGACAAATGTTAATCTTCTTGTTTGAGGAGCTATTCACTTGAGACAGTTAAGCAAGTTAAGCAAGTCACTTGTCTGGGTACAAGTGACAGAATGAACAACCCAGCGGGTTTTCTTCGTTTTGGAGTGTTGTACATGCTGCTATGGCGGGATGACCACTCACAGGATGAGTGGCGCTGCCCAATAAACTCGCTCCTCGGGGCAAAATTTAAACAAAAAATTAAAAAATAATACGTAGACCATGATAGGCAAGCACAGCACCCAACACACTCTCCAAGACATAGGGGGTAATCAGTGTCCACACTAGTAGTGTGTGTGCAACCGATCCTCCAAATAAAACGTCACATTTAGACATAAGCCTGATGTTTGACGTCTGGTGTCAGCCTACTCTCAATGTTCCCAGCCACTCCCCACGCGCGCGCCCGGCCTCACAAAAGCCTAATCATACATATGGAGTGTTAACTTCACACTGGAAATTTTACATAAAAAATTATATCTTTTCATTTTTGTTTTGTTTAACAAATTTGAACATAATTTGACGATTACTGTATATAGAAAACATTATTTTCTGAGGGTTGAACGAAATTATGAGAACATTTTTTCATTATAATAGTTTTATTATAATCATTTTTATATACTTAATTTAAGTAGTAAACATAAATACAATGTAATGTGTCAGGAATTGAAGCAATTGAACCACAATATGAGTTTCTAGGAACAGCGAGTAAGTGTAAACTAATGATAGACTAATACAGTAAATGATATTGCTAACTAAAGTAACAGATGTACAACATGGGTAAATGAGTAACTCTTAAGTATCAAATTATAAACTCCAGAGTAACAATGAGTGTAGTGGAACTGTGTACAGGAGGGGGGGATGAGGCTGGGAGGAAGCCCCCCCACTGACCCTGCACAGCTGCCGAGGAAGCCCGCCTATTATATTTCTACTCATACCAGCATCATAGAGTGAAAAACAGTTTTCTTCACTGTTTTTGAGAGAGCCAGCGGATATGTGACAGAGTAAGATTGATGCTAAACCGGAATTGTCCAGCATGTTTCAGTAGGCCTTCGATGTCTCGTTTTGTGTGCTTTTGTACAATGTTCCTTTCTTCTTATATTCGTAATCTCAGTGCTGGGGCCCCATCTCTAAAATATATGTTCAGCAAAGTCCCATTGTTCTGAAATCTTAAGCTTACGATTGCTTGACCCCAAACCTTACCTCAGTCTGTTACAGCTAAACATATGAGTTATAAACCTTGAAAATAGTCGAATCTGAGATGTCCGAGTCATTCCCCCCACTGCCCCCGTTCACCTCATGCTAGCAGAAAGTTGTCACCGGCGTCACCACCACCTCGTCGGCCCTCAGGCCCTGGCGGCGGCAGCTGGCATGCGGGACAGCCCCGGCAGCACACTCCCCCGTGGGACAACCACTGAGGCAGGTGTAACAACAAAACATGAGCTGAAACACAGTGACCCACACTACGCACGCCAGCACCGGCACACCACCGAACAGCTGCCAACCTACTTTATAACAGTCCCGAGTTGCCAGACATGTTGACTCACTGGTAGGGATCACATTATGACGTCATAGTGACGTTACACACCTTGTACATACTCTATACAAAACACAAAATTGTATCGGGTTGGATTGCTTTAAGTTTGCTTAAAGAGTAGAGATGACAAAGAATGGTGAGCATTGTTTCAGGTCTTAGACCTTACTCGGAGATGGACGCCATAGGGAACACTCTTCCCCCTTTATTAAAAGGTGGCTATGTTTACCATAGATGGCATAGTGTCACGCAGTGTGTAGGTGTCACGGACGCTATACACAACAATGGTATATTGTGCGGTGTAGTGCCACATGAGACGTTTTATGTATTAATATGACACTTGTGTGATTCGGCACATTCTCGCGGTGGATGCACATATGATACCATCACCTGGCGAGTGTTAAATGACTCGTCTCTAGTACTGACGCGTCTGGTCGCGCCTGCATCAGCCAAGATGGGGCAAGTGATGTTGACAGATGAACTGATCACTTATATTGTCTTCCACACACTCGGAAGTAACGCTGTTTGTCGCAAGACAGCTCTCAAAAACATTTACAGCAAAGACGAACTGTTATGTCACTGCGTGTCAACCACTGTTATGTCACTGTTCTTGTCAACCACTGTTACATCAAGCAATATTAAGAGAGTTGCAGTGATTACTGCAGGTAAACACTATACCTGAAGAACTCATCTCAGTTAACCGAGTCATTAAAAGCTCTCTGCAGGCGTCCACCAGACGCCAGCTGGTGTCCTAAAACTCAGTTTTTTTGTACACAACAAAGTCACTTTCCTGTATAAATGGTGCTTAATGGAGCTATGTTACAGCGGAGGTAATTGTTTTATAAGAGCTAATAATTATCCTAACCACCAAGTGTGAGTGACTGCCAACACCCCGACACATGATACATGGATGACACGTGTAAAAGGAACCACCAGTATACCGAACGTCTTATGTTTATACTTTTCTTTATACAGATTTCTTACACACTACATTGGTCTCCTAGGGGTAGGCGACATCTTGGGAGAAGGTCTTCTAGGAGCGACATCATGGGAGAATGAGGTCTCCTAGGAGTGGGTGAGGTCAGAGGAGGATGAGATCTAGAAGATGGCTCGGCAGTTGGTGCAGCGTGTCTGCCTCGTAAGGAAGCAACAGAGAATACCAAGCGGGAAGAACCAGATGGCCAGACAGATGCCGCAGGGGGTGAACCGCTCCGTAAGGATGCCCGCCTGGAGGAGTGCACAAGCCACTCATCACGTATATTACTTGGAATACAGTCAAGGAATAAATGTAGATGAACTAGAAAGTAACTAACATCTACAATAGCCTACTGAGACCCCTAGAGAAAAATAAAAAATGTGTTAAATTTAGAAGAACGAAGTTTTAGCCTAATAATATGTGGGGTGGGTTGTTAAGGCTACACAATCCCTTACTGACCAACCAGCAAGCATACTTTAGTGTGGACCAAGGTACTGCAGGTATCTTGTTACCTTATAAACCCCATTTCTGGGTTTAAAACGCCGGTAACCCCATATCTGGATTTTATTGTGTTTATGTGTATAATTTCTGTTTAACTACAAAACATAATATAATAAATATTTGTACTCTTATGATTAGTGGTTGTGGTTAAATACTACGAGAAAATACACTAGCACAAGTTTACATGTTAAGTATTGTGAAAATAATCACATTAAATGTTCTTAAATTTGTCCGTGACTATCACATCTTTAATATTTTATATCTTTATATTAATTTGTTCTGTATTTTCTAAAAATATTAATGAATTTAGAATTTTTAAACTGGAAACCCGTTTATCACATGTACTAGTGCTGACCTGGCAGGCGGGACAGGCAGTCGCTGCCACCACAACCGGCTGGATCAGTACAGGAGCCGGTTGGACCACCTCGGGGCCCGGATGGTACGCCCCAGGGGGTGTAGCCTGGTACACTGTCGTCTGTGGAGGCTCGGCGCTGTATGGTGGTGGCTGTTCCACTGTGGGGGTGGTTCCCAATCAGGCATGGTCCAGTATACGAGTGGGTGGGGGAGTCCAGTGCAAGAAATTGAAATTGAAATAAGTTTATTGAGGTAAAATACACACAAAGGGATGAGGTAGCTCAAGCTATTCTCACCCAGTTAAGTACATCGTGTTAATACATACATATAAACACATCACAAACAATAAACATTACCAAACATTCTGAGAGATAAACATCTACATTTCCTCCCAGTGCAAGAGTGAGGGACGGTTCAGTCACCTCAGGTCAGTATGTTTATAAGATAAATATATATGAAATTACAATATGGTATATGACGGATATTTCTGGGTATATTTTGAGGAAATGACAGATGTGATCTATATGCTAGTGACTTATGGTTTATGAGTATGTCAGTAGTGGATATTTTTATATAATTTATTTCCTAAATACATGAGAGTTAATGTAGGACGAATATTATTTGGTTATAAAATTATTATTATTTTGTGAAATGACTGATTACATCCGCCAAGTTCAATTTAAGTTGAATACACCCACAGTAGGAGAGGCTCAAAGATACGTAACTGGTATCCAACTGAGACTTTAGGCCTTCCCTGGGGTGCTACTTAAGCACGGAGGCATTAGGTGATCCACGCCGCAAGTTATGTAAATTGCTAACCACAACAGACGTGGATAATAACATTTCATTCACTCGGGCCCTAGAAGCCTGGAAACCACAAGAACGGTAGCCTACAGGCTAGCGACTGATGATGACCATCTCGAAGAAATAATTATCTGTCGTCAGTCCGTAAAATGTTTATATTTCACCGTCAATATTTTAAAGATTTACGTCGTCCGTGGTCAAGATAAATATGCAATACCATCAGTTTATCTCTTCCTCTTTAGATAATATTAATTCTAATCTGTTTTAATTAGTTACCCAAGGGTGAGGCAGCATTGACTTCGTCGACGGGAGACTTCTCCATACTGGAGACGGATGTCGCGTTGATATCGTGACGTGCACTGCTGTCAGGGAAGGTGATGTTGGTGCTGTAGGTGGAGGTGATGGGTGCTGGTGGGAACAGGTGCTGTAGGTGGAGAGTTATTTGATGTGCTGTGTAGGGATAGGTGGGCGCAGACACACACGAGTGTTCACCGTCCTCAGATGTGAGTCAGCAGCACCTGCGGGGGTAAGATCGAGGCGGCTGTTAATTAATAACACCAGGAAGACAGGTCTTACGACTCAACATTGGCTTTCCTGCTCCAGGCGTGTTGACGACCACGGGTACAGCAACCCGGATGGCGTCATGGAGAGGGAACCTAGGCGACAAGTGACCCCCCAGGCCATGAGTGACCTTAGGCCACGTGTTATTAGTCGGTTCTGATTGTCAGTGGGGAGGAATGCAGTACAAAACACCCGTGGCCTTTTCTTTTATAATAATAAAATATATAAATGTCTACTGGGCCACAACTAGCTGGCGTGAGTGCAGGACGAGGGCTCATGCAGGTCTAGTATTGGTCGTCAGCCACCTCGGACGAGCATGCAGTGTTGCCAGATTAGGCTACAAATAGCGAATTGGGCTACTTTTGAGAGCCCTGCGCTCCCAATTTTTTATTTTCGTTACTTGCTACTTTTTGGGCTAATTTAAAAGCAAGATGTGCTAATTTGGGCTATTAATGTTAAGAATGTACGATTGCGAGTTACATGAAAGTAACTGAACTATAAATAATTGTAATTAATAATAATTGTAAATATTAATTAATACTAAATAATATTATTTAATAAATTAGTCCCAATTCAATGCAGAGTTTTCTTCCAAGCACAGAAACTTGTAAATATAAATACAAGATAATAGATAGATTGATAAATAGACAACTTTCAAATATTGCACCAAGTAATGGCGAGAGGAAAAAACTAGACAGTATACATTACATTTGAAATTAATAATGGATGAATGGTAATAAATTGGTGTCTGTTTGTATGTATAACAGACAAAGTCCATTTAATGGCAGAATTTAGCCATTTTGTGTAAAAACTTTTATATCTCATATTATTAATTATAACAGTAATCGAAAAAAGTCATAGTTTGTATATACAAGAGATGAAACAGAGAGCCACGAGCTAGAGCGATGTGCTGAGTCCATAAGGAGGTTGAGCTTCCAGAAATACCTTCCTGTGATTGGCTGTTGCGGGGAATACCAACACTCTTTTATGAATAAAATTTATACTAAGAAATAGGTCCTTGTGCACAACAACAAGGTTGTTGTGAAAAAGAACAACAATTTTTGTTTTGCACCTGACAGAAATCTCCATCTAACTGAATAATTTACTCGAATAAGAGGGCAGAGCAGTGTATCATTATTTGTGTCAAGGCAACCACCAATAATAACGTCACAAGCTAGGTAGCCAGCCTATGTTTCTGTAACACCCGTTACATCCTGCAGTATTTAATTATCACTATATTAATATTTTTAAATACTTAACATTTCACATTTTAGGTAGATTAAAGTTGAAGCAGAATGTCATAAGCAAGGATGGTGTGCTGAATAAATATGATTTATTAAGTGTCTCCGTGGTGTAGTGGTAAGACACTCGCCTGGCGTTCCGCGAGCGCTGTCATGGGTTCGTATCCTGGCCGGGGAGGATTTACTGGGCGCAATTCCTTAACTGTAGCCTCTGTTTAACGCAACAGTAAAATGTGTACTTGGATGAAAAAACGATTCTTCGCGGCAGGGGATCGTATTCCAGGGACCATAGGATTAAGGACTTGCCCGAAACGCTACGCGTACTAGTGGCTGTACAAGAATGTAACAACTCTTGTATATATCTAAAAAAAAAAAAAAAAAAAAAGTGGATGGAGACTTTAGCTGATCCCTTCCTGTGATTGGCTGTTGTGTGAATGTCAACAAAGAATATCTACCAATGATATGCCATTTATTATGCACCCCATATCATCTTGTGGGCGGAGCTTGGAACCTCCTACCCGAGCACAACAACCCACCTTATGGGTTGCTGTTTGGCTATTTATAGTGCGTTGGAAAAAAACTAGATGGCGTTAGTTGTATTTTGTAGGATGATTTGTTATAAGTGTAATTTGATGTCAACAGATGGCGTAAGCTGTATCTTATGGCCACTGTTGACCAGCCAGTTGATAGTGTTCTCTTCTGCCGACAGATGGCATCAGCTGTGTTATTATTACTTCCGAATTCCCTTTAAACACTGATCTACAAATCCCTTGGCTTATGATAAGGTTTTATACCATTTATGATAAGTATTGAATAACTGGAGTTCCGCAATTACTTTTATTTATCAATATATATATATATATATATATATATATATATATATATATATATATATATATATATATATATATATATATATATATATATATATGTCGTACCTAGTAGCCAGAACTCACTTCTCAGGGGACTATGAATGGTCCCCATTGTCCTGGGGACCATTCAGGCTTGTTCGCATATATATATATATATATATATATATAGCTTTATCATTTCATAAGAAAAAATTATAGTAAATAAATTAATTCAGGAAAACTATTATATATATATAAGTATATATATATATATATATATATATATATATATATATATATATATATATATATATATCATATCTATATTTTATAATCTGCAATATAATCATATCATCATATAATGTCTGGTTAGGACGCACTGCTCTCGATTGATGAAGATTAAACCACCCAAGAGGTGGCACGGGCATGAATAGCCCGTAAATACTGCTCTCTTAATATTATTCAGGGGGTGGGGGAACTATCAAGTGAAAGCGCCAAGCCATTACGACTATATAGCACTCGGAAGTGATCAGGATACGGGGTCACGGGAGGCATCTCCCGTCACGCAGGGTGCAGTCGCACCTCCACAGATCTCCAGTATCATCTATTGATACTGGTAATGACTCAAAAGGGCCACCACTTACGGGCTATTCATGCCCGTGCCACCTTTTGGGTGGCTTAATCTTTATCATCATCATCATCAGGATACGGATTTGGGATGGAACGGGAGAAAGGAATGGTGCCCAACTTCTTGGGCGGTCGGGGATTGAACGCGGACCTGTAGGAAAGGAGACCGTCGCTCTACCGTCCAGCCCAAGTGGTTAGGAGTAATATTATTAAAACAACAATTTATGCATATAATAACAGCATTTCACACTAAAAATACTTGGATATATTGAAATTTGGTAGTGAATTCCAATCTAGGTATCTCCTATGACTAAACTGTACTTTTTAATTATGTTTATGTACTTACTACTTATTATTAAATTATTAAGTACTTACTATAATAATTAAATAAATTATTTTATTTAATATTTAAATTAAATGATAAAATAGTAGGTAATAATAAATCATTGTGTAGGGGGGACAGGCAGCCAGTGTGTGTATATACATGTTAGGCTTACACCAAGGTCCCACAAAGGTGCCACAAAGGTGCCAAATTAAAGACTGGGTGCTGCCGGGGCGGGCCCAAGGGCTGCTGGCGGCCCTGGCCAGGCTGAACTTCCGCGCCCTTATAATCACCATTGTTTAATAATCTTCACAGGGAGAAACAACTGTAAATATAGGAATAGTTTATCACAACTTACACGGTAAAGAAAACAGCTCGGAAACTAAGGAAATAAAGCTGCCGAAAAAACATTAAAGTCTACTTCAAGTTCAAGTATGTTTATTGAGACAATAAAAAAAATACATCTCAAAGGGATAGAGTAGCTTAGGCTATTTCTACCCTCCCCCCCCCCCCCCGCCCTCTACTTCAAGTCCCTCAATTTGTGCGCCTCAAGGGGCGCACAAATTGAGACTAGAAATAAATAGAAATAGACTAGAAATAAAAATGAATTTTGGAGAATTGATTTTTGAATTACCTCCAACAGTGAAAAGAAATGTACGAAAGATTGAGAAAATTCGTGTTAGAATTATTAATCTTACTTTTTCGGTCATATTTAATAATATATGTCTACAGGAAAGACTGCTACCAAAATATACTAATATATATATATATATATATATATATATATATATATATATATATATATATATATATATATATATATATATATATATATATATATATATATATATATATATATATATATATATATATATATATATATATATATATATATATATATATATATATATATATATATATATATATATATATATATATATATATATATATATATATATATATATATATATATATATATATATATAATATGTGTGTGTGCATGTGCAGAAATAATATTAATAAAACAATTAACATCGTGTAGTGTACTCTATATATCAAAATATATTACTTTGAAACCCCATATCATTCACTAAAAAAGATTGGGCTACTCTTATTACAAATTCGCTACTTTTAGAGCGTCAGCTCGCTACTTTCAGCAATTTAGATCTGGCAACCATGCGTGCATGCAACGAGCACTTTGTTCTCGGAAGCTGCTGAGTTGGGAGAATATATACACCAAGGCGTCCAACACAGCTCGGCACGCTGTCAGCGGCGTCCTCGACGATCTGCTTGATGTTGTTTACCTAACTAGCATTCATCTACAGTGGCCTTAAATAAGCTGTGTGGCTTTCAACACACGAGAGACTCCAAGCAACGATTGAGCATGGGAGTACTGAGGTGCGAGAAAATATTAAGATACAATATTTACAGCATATACGGCACATACTACCTCAGGAACCAAAATGATGACTCACGAACCGTTATTTAAGGCAGAGGTAACAGATAATTACTGCGTTGATCTTATCTTATCCCCTCTCTCCCATGACCATCACTACCTCTCCCACGACCCTCATTACCTCTCCCACGACCATCACTACCTCTCCCACAACCGTCACTACCTCTCCCACGACCATCACTACCTCTCCCACGACCCTCACTACCTCTCCCACGACCATCACTACCTCTCCCACGACCCTCACTACCTCTCCCACGACCATCACTACCTCTCCCACGACCCTTACTACCTCTCCCACGACCATCCTCTCCCACGACCCTCACTACCTCTCCCACGACCATCACTACCTCTCCCACGACCATCACTACCTCTCCCACGACCATCACTACCTCTCCCACGACCCTCATTACCTCTCCCACGACCATCATGACCTCTCCCACGACCCTCACTCCCTCTCCCACGACCATCACTACCTCTCCCACGACCATCACTACCTCTCCCACGACCATCATTACCTCTCCCACGACCATCATTACCTCTCCCTCGACCCTCACTTCCTCTCCCACGACCCTCACTACCTCTCCCACGACCATCACTACCTCTCCCACGACCATCACTACCTCTCCCACGACCCTCACTACCTCTCCCACGACCCTCACTACCTCTCCCACGACCATCACTACCTCTCCCACGACCATCACTACCTCTCCCACGACCCTCACTACCTCTCCCACGACCCTCACTACCTCTCCCACGACCATCATTACCTCTCCCACGACCATCATTACCTCTCCCACGACCATCACTACCTCTCCCACGACCATCACTACCTCTCCCACGACCCTCACTACCTCTCCCACGACCCTCACTACCTCTCCCACGACCATCACTACCTCTCCCACGACCAGAACAGTATCATAGCCACACCAAAGTAGCCAACAAATGGAATGCATTAGGAAGTGATGTGGTGGAGGCTGACGCCATACTTTGTTTAAAATGTTGATATGATAAAACTCAGTAGGCCCAGGAACCTGTACACAAATAGATTAACAGTTGAGAGGCGGGACAAAAGAGCCAAAGTTCAACCCCCGCAAGCACATCTAGGCTAGTACTACAACAAGCAGGTGAGTACACCAGCTTACCACAGAGGCCAGGTAGACGACTCTGCCACAACAGGTTGCTAGGGGAACTATGCAGTTGTAACTCACCCACCCGGGCGTCCGGTACGTATCAATGGTCTTATCTCTGATAAACTGTTTTTACCCCGACCCTGTTGGGTGTGTCACCGCCAGCTGCGGAGACCAGTGATCCTTCCAGTCATAATCTTATCATGGCAAGAATGAGTTCGTCTCTGATAACAACATGAAAGATTTTAAGTTCGTAATAACTCCATTAAAAGTTATTTGTTCGTCATAGATAACATCAAAGGTTGTTAGTTCGTCATAGATAACATCAAAGGTTGTTAGTTCGTCATAGATAACATCAAAGGTTGTTAGTTCGTCATAGATAACATCAAAGGTTGTTAGTTCGTCATAGATAACATCAAAGGGCTGCTGGCGGTTGTTATATACTATATATATTTCATGAGGCTACACTACTACATTAGATGTTATACATGCTTTACATATTTTAATTTGGGAATTTGTAAACGCAGCTTTCTATTGTTCACTGCAACACAAGAGAGATGGATTTATGAGATTCAGCTTAAAACAAGAAAACTAATGTGAAGGGAATTTTGGATAAATTGTTAGGCTTTCTTCTAATACACCAGATTCAATGATAGTTGCACATTTGATTGTACTATAGGCCTGCTCAAATCTTTTACAGTTTCACATTTAATAATACAGTGTTCAAGTGAATGGTTTGTCACAGAGTTTACAGGCTGAATATTCTGGCAGTGGGTATCCAGTGAGATTTTTTTAGGTTATTTTAGTTCATTCAAAACGTGAAATGGAAGTACAGTTATTGACGGTGAGAGAGTTAATTTTAATCTAACAACAACAATTTTTGTTTAAGTTGTTCAGAGAACGAGTCCCATACCCCAAAGGAATATGGGAACCGGGGTTATCCACGCCTGAAAGGGGTCTGGGTATCCCCGGTTAGGAACAAAAACCATGCAAGCTTAGAGAATCATTCCGTAGTAATTGAATAACTTTATTTTCTCTTCACAGTTTTCCATTTTCAATCATATTGTAAAACACACATAATTATACCCACATCCACTGTACGCTGTTGGGTGTGTTTTTTTACGGAAACAAATAATATTACCAACAAAATTAATTAAAATATATTTTATATGAAAAAATAGGCCTATCTAACCGACAGGACGTGATAACGAGACAGATTTGGGCCACCGACCATACAAGCCGACCTTATCTCGTCTACGTCCTCCTCTCGTTATGTTAGCCAGTTTTCACGCCTCACGTTGTTAGTAGATGATCGTTTACTTCCAGGTCTACATGTGTGCATTTTTCTATTTTTGCCTACAGGATCGAGTTGTTAGCTCTTGGACCCCACCTTTCTAACCGTCGGTTGTCTAATATACCGGTAGTGCAAGCAGGTTCGTTTCTCGACTCACAATCGAGAATTCCGGGCGAGATAGAAATGGTTAGGCGCATTTTCTATCACCTAAGGCATCTGTTTACCTAGCAGTAAGTTGGTACCCAGAGGTTAGCTTGTTGTAAGTTTGCATCCTTGTGTCGACGCTTCCCAGTCTAAGGGAGGGACGGTCAGCCGGACACTTCCCAGTCTACGTCGGCCAGGAGGGACGGTCAGCCGGACACCTCCCAGTCTACGTCGGCCAGGAGGGACGGTCAGCCGGACACCTCCCAGTCTACGTCGGCCAGGAGGGACGGTCAGCCGGACACCTCCCAGTCTACGTCGGCCAGGAGGGACGGTCAGCCGGACACCGTTCTTTAATCGTGGCCTCATTCATCGTGATGGGATCTGTGTCTGTATCAAGGAGATCAGCTTGTTAGTGTTCAGAGCAAGTATGGCCTCGAACCGGTAGTTTTCTCTTATCTCGTCTTCTGAGTAAGCCTACTACTCTTTTTTTTATTACCCCTCCCCCCATCACACACACATGCATTCGCGGCTAAGTGGACACCGTTCGGGGGACGTAGTCCTAAGGGCCCGGGTTCGATTCCCGGCCGAAGCACAAACAGATTCACCTGATGCACCTCTTCACCTAGCAGTAAATAGGTTCCTGGGAGTCAGACGGCTACTACGTCTGTGTGTGTGTGTATTAGAGAGAAATATATATGTAGTAGACATAATAGAGAAAAAAAATAGATCGGTTAGAAAGGCGGGGTCCAAGAGCTAATAGCACGATTCTGCATAAATAGTAAATACACATACACACACGCACCCACGGGTCGTACATGCACAAGAGGATACGGGTGGAAACTGAGAACCGAAATGAGCCACAGAGATATTAAAAAGACTTTTCAGTCTCAGAGTAGTTAATAAATGGAATTAATAAGTGATGTGGTGAAGGCTGACGCCTACATAGTTTCAAATGTAAATTCAGATATATGTAAATATGATGTATCTGAATTTGAAACTGTGTCCAATATGTCCAGAAACTTGTACACCAATTTATTGATAGCAGAGAGACCATAAAACCGAAGCTCAGCAAGCACAATTAGATAAATACAATATCTCTCACTCATTCACTCACACGCCCACTTACGCACGCACTCACTCGTAACTTACACATCCACTCACATATTCAGTCACTCATTGTCACTGTCTCGGTATGTCTGTCTGTCTGCCTCAACAGACAGACAGATAGACAGCCATAGAAGCTGCAGGGGTGAGGAGTCCATCATAGTGTTGACACTGGTGGACGAGACGCCAACACAAGGTTGACGTCCGGCCCTGTATACAAAGATCACTACCTACATTCCCGCCAAATTGTGCGGTATCTGGGCCACGAACGACTGACTGGTCAACGAGCTCACGAATGTTGGGGACGCACGGGTAGGGGGAAGGAGGGAGGGAAGAGAGAGAGAGAGAGAGAGGAGTGAAAGAAAGAAAGGAAGAGAGGGAGGAGTGGGGGAAAGACAGATTAAGCCTCTTCGTCTGCAGTACCTGTTCCCTCAAACTTAGTCAAGCGAGCACCATAGTTGTTGTTTATGGTCATATTATCATTGTAGACGAAGTCTAAGACTGAGTTCGGGTAATTACTGGAACACGGAGACGGAGGGTCCATGGTTAGTGACGTCAGCGGAGGTATAAAAGTGTGGGTGAAGGAGGCGGGTTGAACACTGCCGCCCTGACACTCGCTGCCGCTGCTGCTGCTGGATATTGTCGCTCCTCGCCTGGTGAGTGCCTCACCCCCCCCCCCCCGGCCCCTCACTCCCCTCCAGCCACTAACTGGAAGCACAGTGATCACTACAGTCGACTCACAACACAACAGTGGTCACTGCAGGTCGACTCACGACCATATATGTCAGTCGACCAGTCATATGATCGTTTCAGTGTCAGTTAACCAGTCATATGATCGTCCCAGTGTCAGTCGACCAGTCATATGATCGTCCCAGTGTCAGTCGACCAGTCTTATGATCGTTTGAGAGGCGGGACCAAAAGACCAACCCCCGCAAGCACAACTAGGTGAGGTGAGTACAACTGAATGCTCCGGGGATCGATTCCCGCACAGAACGAGGCGTTTGAGAACATTTCCTTACACCTGATGAATCTGTTCACATAACAGTAAACAGGTTCCCTGAGTTAGCTACCTGCTGTGGATTGCATCCTTGGGAAGGTCAGTCAAGGCCTTGTCGGGGACAAGAAGCCTGTGAATATATATAATTTAGGCACAGGTCCCGGTCCCCAACGTAGAACTTCTTACCTTCCTCAAGATGCAAACGCCATAACAGTTGCCTATAACTCCCAGGTATAGCTATTAACTGCTAGGTGAACAGAGCCATCAGGTAGAAGGAAACGTACCCAACCATTCCTCTCCCGCCCGGGGAATCTAACCCGGGATCCTCGAGTGTGAAACGAGAACGCAGCCAACTACACTAAGCGGCCCCTTGTATACACTAAACCGACCAGTAATGCTAATTATAATTAAATAAACATAAATTGAAACATTTTCAAAGATAAACTTTAAAATTTATACAATAACTTAATTTAAATATTAATATTGAGCAGTAAAAAGTTGAAGATTTTAAATTAGCTACTCAATAAAATCACGTTTATTGAGCCAGAATACGTAGGAGTTTCTTGGCTTGCAGACGTTCTTGGAGTCGTTCGTGGAAACGTTCTTGGAGACATTCTTTGAGACGTTCTTGGAGTCGTTCGTGGCGTTACTGGCAGCCACGTACGCGTCAAGAAGCGCTCCTCTCCACACTAAGATGTATTTACAAAACGGATAAAGAATTACAAGCAAGACAATTCTAGACAAATATTACGAACGGAACAAGAGTAATGATTCGAATGGAAAGTTGGAGTAACTTGTGTAAAACGCGGCCGTCGACCAGACATATGATCGTCCCAGTGTCAGTCGACCAGTCATATGATCGTCCCAGTGTCAGTCGACCAGTCATATGATCGTCCCAGTGTCAGTCGACCATTCATATGATCGTCCCAGTGTCAGTCGACCAGTCATATGATCGTTTCAGTGTCAGTTAACCAGTCATATGATCGTCCCAGTGTCAGTCGACCAGTCATATGATCGTCCCAGTGTCAGTCGACCAGTCATATGATCGTCCCAGTGTCAGTCGACCAGTCATATGATCGTCCCAGTGTCAGTCGACCAGTCATATGATCGTCCCAGTGTCAGTCGACCAGTCATATGATCGTCCCAGTGTCAGTGTCAGTCGACCAGTCATATGATCGTCCCAGTGTCAGTCGACCAGTCATCATATGATCGCCCTAGTGTCAGTCGACCAGTCATATGATCGTCCCAGTGTCAGTCGACCAATCATATGATCGTCCCAGTGTCTGTCTACCAGTCATATGATCGTCCCAGTGTCAGTCGACCAGTCACACGAGGATACGTGTAGCGGAACAAGGCGGGAAGGAGGGGAACAAAGAATTAAGGAGCGACTGCAGGACCTCCTAGTAAAGTATCTTGGAGTGAGAGATGATGTGGTATACTGGGAGCTGTTGACTTTTAACATGTCGCCCAAGTGCCGGGCAAATAGAAGAATATCATGCGTAATGGTTTGGGTAAAGATACAAATGACAAGTATACATATATTTAATGAGGTGTGATATATAGTTGAGGGTCTGCTTGACGATTATATTCTCAACTTTCAGTGTTATGGTGGGTATACTGGCTTGTTCTTCAGTGTTATGGTGGGTATACTGGCTTGTTCTTCAGTGTTATGGTGGGTATACTGGCTTGTTCTTCAGTGTTATGGTGGGTATACTGGCTTGTTCTTCAGTGTTATGGTGGTTACTGACTTGTTCTTCAGTGTTATGGTGGTTGCTGGCTTGTTCTTCAGTGTTATAGTGGTTACTGGCTTGTTCTTCAGTGTTATGGTGGTTGGTGGCTTGTTCAGTGTTATACTAGTTACTGACTTGTTCTTCAGAGTTATAGTGGTTACTGGCTTGTTCTTCAGAGATATAGTGGTTGCTGGCTTCTTCTCCAGTGGTTATAGTGGTTATACTGGCGTTTCTTCAGTGTTATACTGGTTACCGGCTTTTTCTTCAGAGTTATAGTGGTTGCTGGCTTGTTCTGGCTATGGGACAACCTACAATATAACGTTCAAAAGAATACATGTTTTCTCTTTCATAAAGTTGACACATGTATTTGACACTTGGGTCCTGGGTAAACTCCAGATACGTCAGTATCCCAGACCACATCCTGGCCACTAAACTCCAGATACGTCAGTATCCCAGACCACATCCTGGCCACTAAACTCCAGATATGTCAGTATCCCAGACCACATCCTGGCCACTAAACTCCAGATACGTCAGTATCCCAGACCACATCCTGGCCACTAAACTCCAGATACGTCAGTATCCCAGACCACATCCTGGCCACTAAACTCCAGATACGTCAGTATCCCAGACCACATCCTGGCCACTAAACTCCAGATACGTCAGTATCCCAGACCACATCCTGGCCACTAAACTCCAGATATGTCAGTATCCCAGACCACATCCTGGCCACTAAACTCCAGATATGTCAGTATCCCAGACCACATCCTGGCCACTAAACTCCAGATACGTCAGTATCCCAGACCACATCCTGGCCACTAAACTCCAGATACGTCAGTATCCCAGACCACATCCTGGCCACTAAACTCCAGATACGTCAGTATCCCAGACCACATCCTGGCCACTAAACTCTGTCAGTATCCCAGACTCCTGGCCACTAACTCCAGATACGTCAGTATCCCAGACCACATCCTGGCCACTAAACTCCAGATATGTCAGTCCCAGACCACATCCTGGCCACTAAACTCCAGATATGTCAGTATCCCAGACACATCCTGGCCACTAACACCAGATCGTCAGTATCCCAGACCACATCCTGGCCACTAAACTCCAGATATCAGTATCCAGACCACATCCTGGCCACTAAACTCCAGATACGTCAGTATCCCAGACCACATCCTGGCCACTAAACTCCAGATACGTCAGTATCCCAGACCACATCCTGGCCACTAAACTCCAGATACGTCAGTATCCCAGACCACATCCTGGCCACTAAACTCCAGATATGTCAGTATCCCAGACCACATCCTGGCCACTAAACTCCAGATATGTCAGTATCCCAGACCACATCCTGGCCACTAAAACATCACCATGTCGACCTTTTGCTCTACTAGTTCCACATGTAAACATCTCACGGCATTCATCATATATAATGCTAAAATGTTTATAAATGTTTTTTTGGTTAATAAAATTTTCATCAGAGTCGTTTCAATGTTTTAGTTAATGTAATTAACTAAATGTTTAATGTGTTAATTTCTACTATTAGTCTGCTACAGGCTGTCTTTATAAGCATGTCAACAGTATTATACTCTCTGATGCCAACATCTGATGATATTCAGAGGAATTTAATACAAATGTATTTCCTTATCGGGTAAAACATTCATTCATATACCTTCATATACCACTGACTATTGCCTGGGTGTGTATACTGTACTGCGTATCTGCGTCCACCCAACCCTGTATGTACCAGGGTTGGGTGGGCGGGTGGTGGTCCCACCTGGTGCTGGGTGACGAGGGGGAGGGGGCGGACTGGGACGGGCTGTGGGAAGTATATTGCAGGTGAAGGACGGACGAGAGTTCGTATTGTTTCTCTGTCTCTGTCTCTCTCTCTTTATGTGTGCAGAAGGGGGTCACACACACACACACTAATTTAATTAGTGTGTGTGTGTGTGACCCCCTTCTGCCCACCAGGGGGCAGAAGGGGGTCGGGTCAACCACATCACCCGCTTGAGGAAGTGGCTGTCTTCCGTAATTGTTCCCTTCCGCAAGTTCCTCTTCTTATTGGCCTCCTCCCCAGAGGTCCTCTCATCACATGATGTATCACAACTACCGTCATCATCCACACATACATGGAAGGTTACGTACAACTCAACAGTTGTTGCGACGCCTGGGGCACTTATCACAGGAGAAGTTGATAGATTTTTCCGTTTTTCCGGTTGGATCTTCGGGAGGAGTGACAATGTCTGGCGGGGAAAGATCATGTGTGCCGTTCGGGTCTTGTGGGGTTGCGTATTTGCTCATTTGGGTACAAGTTCAAGAGGAGACGTCGCGACTTTGGCCATCCAGTGTTTTCCTGTGTGGGGTTAAGGTTAAGGGCCGGTGCTTGCCTCCCTAGCCACTCCAGGGGCTTCCCAGCATGTGGCTACTTGTGTGTTTTTCACCGACAGACGACATGTACACCAACAGCAGCAGGGGACGTAACTCAGGTCCTAGAGCCGTGGCCTCTGGCAGCAGGGGACGTCAGCAATTGGGTCACACTGACGGAACTGGCTTGTAATAGCGGCGTGTCATTATGACGGTGTCTGGGAGCGACCCGCTGTTACACTAACCTCCGCCAACACCACACCTTCCAGCGCCGCCTCAAGCTTTCTACTTCACCGCGCGCTTCCGGTTCCTTCACACTGATGTAATCCATACGTCTCTACCCGCCTCCACGTCTTATAACATCTCAAGCTCCTACAGCCATTGTTTACTCGTTTCTTGGCCCCGAGCATCCCAAGGGCACACATCACTTCAACCCTTGACTTGAGATAGCTTGGTCTAAAAAGACTGTTGGTTAGAGCGACCCGCAGGACCACATACCCACAACAACCCGGTTATGGGCTGCACTTTTTGCAGGAATGTGTCTACTGTTATCTTGAACACGTCCTTTTGTGCTGTCAATATTTCTAATATTTGCTGGGAGGACCTCTGAAGTTCGTACAGTGAATGTGAATGTTCACAATCACATTCCTGCAACTGAATGTGAAATATAAATCAAAAGTTTAGAGAGGTCTTATCACAGATGGTCAAGAAGCGTCCATGCATTTGACCCCGGATGACATTACCCACACTCGCAGCCAGGTACTCCAAGTTTGCCTATTGTAGACTATAAGTTTGTACTGCCGTTAAGTGTCTTATACTTGCTTATCTCATGACCGTGTTCCGTAACCTTAGCTACAGTACTGTACTTAGCTCACTACCCTTATAGTGTATTACAAGACAGTGAGCCACAACAACGTGGGCTCAACATTACACACCCGACCCACACATCTGAAAATAAAGAATTGAAGACGTTTCGATTCCTCAAATAATTTTCCATTGCACTTTGTGCAATGAACGGACTGAAACGTCGTCACGATGATGGTCCAGGACGGACCTAAATGTCATTTCTTTTATTCCAGATTTGTGGTACAGTTTCTTTTGTTAATTAAAATGAACTATCTAAAAGTGGCAATAAATTAATAGCGTTAAGAAACTTTGTAATTAGTTCATCAATGCTGTAACTTGCTTAACTAAACGAATATTGGGGTTCAGTTCCTGAACTAATTATATACCTCTATAGCCATTTTCACTAACACTCACAGGCGGGGTATGAGGTCTACTACTTAGTCAAACATAAAACGAAGTTAGAAAAGGTTCAGAGGTATGCCACTAGGCTAGTCACCGAGCTGAAAAGAATGAGCTACGTGGAAAGATTATTGAACTGAACCTCACGACACTGGAAGTCAGAGGAGTTAGGGGGAGACATGATCACTACGTATAAAATTCTAGTACGTAGTACGCGAACAAGGGGACATAGGTGGAAACTGAGTACCTAAATGAGCCACAGGGACGTTAGAAAGAACTTTTTCAGTGTCAGAATAGTTAACAGGTGGAATGCATTAGGCAGTGATGTGGTGGAGTCAGACTCCATACACAGTTTCAAATGTAGATATGATAGAGCCTATAAGACCTTCGTCATTAGGCTTAGGCTCAAGAATCTGTACACCAGTTGAGAGGCAGGACCACAGAACCAAAGCTCAACCCCCGCAAGCACAACTAGGTGAGTCCAGGAGGTGGGTATGGAGTCCACTACCACTCACAGCTCATACCCATCTTGAGGATGGTATAGTGGACCCCATACCCATCCTGTGGGTAGTAGTGGACTCATAATCATCCCTGTTGTTGGTTGTGGATCCCATACCCATCCTGTGAATCCCTTTACACATCCTGTGGATGTGTAAAGGAAGAAATGTATATGTTTATGACTCAGAATGTTCGGTAATATGTTTATTGTTTGATGTGTCTATATGTATGAACACGATGTACTGGACGGGGTGAGAATAGCTTGAGCTACCTCATCCCTTTGTATGTATTTTACCTCAATAAACTTATTTCAGTTTCCCTTTCAATCCTGTGGATAGAAGTGAACCCTATACCCACCCTTATGAAAAAAATGTTATAAAGGCACATAATAGTCTCAGGAACTGAACCCCAAAATAAATTTGGTTTTAATTGATGTGTATATTTTAATTGACGTGTTTTCTTTCTTCCCGCAGATGCCAAAGATGACGAGAATTGTGACGCTGGTGGGCGTAGCTCTGATGTGTGTGTCGGGGAGGGCGTGGGCGGGAGAAGATGTAGAGTTGGCGAGGGAGGGTGGAGAGTGGGCGGGAGAGCGCAGAGAGTGGGCGGGGGAAGGGAGAAAGTGGACCGGAGAGGGCGGAGAGTGGGCGGTGACATGGGCTGAAGAAGAGGTGTACTCCCCAGGAGCGGCCATGTTTGAGGGCCTGATGGAGCTGGGTAGACAGTCGACCGTGTACAGCTTCAGTCTCAGTAACCTCTTTATCATCCTCGGCCTCAAGGTGAGCACCTTCACCCTGGTCATCCTCGGCCTCAGTTATCATCTACATATTACAGTTATATGAGAAAATACAACTTTAACCAAAGAAAAATCATGTAAAGATTAATCCGGTTCTATGACCCCGCGACAGATGCTGGTGCTGCTGGTGCTGGGCGGCGGGTTGGGCGTGGGCGTGGGCCGGTCCATGGGCGGCGAGGAGGCGCCCTGGGTGGACGGCACCGACGCCCTCTTCCTCACTACCTACCTGGTCAGTGAGAACCAGGACCGCTACGACTGTCTCAACCGCCTGGCTTGTCTCGACCACTACAGAGCCCACGACCTCCTCACAGCTGCCAGGATGATGATCAAGGCCGCCAAGTATCTCAAGCCGTGAGTGACACGTGTTATTGAGTGGAGGGCGTGGGAGAGTAAGGGAAGGGAGTGGGAGAGTAAGGGAAGGGAGTGGGAGAATAAGGGAAGGGAGTGGGAGAGTAAGGGAAGGGAGTGGGACAGTAAGTACAAGGCGTGGATGAGTGAAGGGGAGGGTGTGGTAGCGGGCATGAGAGAGTGATGTGAAGGGCGTGGACAATTGGGGAAGGACGTATATGAGTGAGAGAATGTCTGGGGACATAAGAACAAGAATATATTAAACTGCAAAAGACCTGTTGGGCTATGGGAGGCAACATCTATCAATATAAAACCAACCTGCATATGTCTAACTTACGCTTGAAACAATTCAGTGATCCCACTACTCTTGTTACCAGGTAATTTATTACAAAATCCTCACTCTTTCCAAACCAATATTTACCCGGGTCTTTCTGAATCTAAACTTATCTAATTCACGCTTTAATAAATATGGAATTGTGTTTTCATACTTCAGTACTTAGTTTAGTCAGATTTTAGTGTCCTTAATATTTTATTACCAAGACATTTAAGGTTTCTCCTGATTTTTGAAGGAATCGGTTCATATATCGGACTACATATTCAATTTCTTTCTAAACTTGAAATAGTGGTTGGGTAGTAAGCCTCGCATGGACCAATAGGTCTCCTACAGTTTCATTCATTATGTTCTTTTAGCTATCCCGCGGTTGATAGGCCTAATGCCCAACACCACACCAAAACAAATAATTCCCATTAGAATGCATGGAATTAGAATTTAATCACCTAACCTACCCAAGGCCTGTACACAAAATTATAATTAATGATATTAATTTATATTTGACAAATTCTGTTTCTGATTATACCGTATGCAAAAACTTAAGATTCTCATCAGACTGGGATTACAACATGCGGAGGGATTTCAAGAAATTTATCTGATTTATCTCAAGAAATGATACTGAGGATTTGATGAGTCTTGAGTACTTACGATATTTCCTCAACGTTAATTGGTACCACATTATGCTCATGTCCTCCACCAGCTACTTGACACTTCCAGGGTCAGTATAGATAAGTTGGAGATTCTACTAGACAACTGTCCTAGTTAAATGGATTCTGAAAGTGAAGGGCCCTGTGGAAGTATGCAGTGGTAGCAGACGCAACTCCACTGACTAAACAATCTCCCTCTACCTTCAGGTACCACGGTACTGTGACTAACCCCCCTCCCCCTCTTCCTACAGGTACTTTGACTTCTCACTGGACAAATACGAGCGAGTATCGTGGAGCGTGGAGGACGCTATCTACTACAAGTATGGTGGAGGATCTTGTCACACCCGCTATCCTTGCCACGCCATGCCTAGCCTCTAGTCACATCATGCATTGCATAGCCTCTAGCCTCACCATGCCTGGCATCTACCATCAGCTGCTACGCCTGCCACGCCATGCCTAGCCTCTAGCCACGTCTGATCAACACCACCTCGGCTAGTCACCACTACCACGGCTGATCACCACCACCACTGCTGGTCACCAATAATTTAGTCCACAAGTGGAAAATGTTGATGATGTTGAATGTTACCAGAAGCCAAAAGTACAAACCATTCACGAGATTATCGCTGCATCAGTGAGGTGTGTCAGAGCTGGCGCTGCCGGTAAACAATTATCAAAAGAAGGCGCCAAAGCCGGGAAGCCCAAGTAGCACCGTCAGTGTCGCTAGAAAATCAAAAGGCGCTGAATATTACCGAGGATGCCAATACCAGAACAAAACACATAAGGCAAGCGATATTAGACTCACCATTGATTCTGTCGAGGGACAGAATCCGGTCGGCCAATCTGGACATTCCACAAGGATGTGCACGACAGTAAGTGGGACAACAAAGATCAGGGCGGCGTTCCATTAAATGCGCGAGTTAAACATTATAACAGATACGTAGAGACGTCCCCCATTGCTTGTTAAGATGTTAAGGAGGAGGCCACTGGGATTGACTACCTTTAAAAGTGCGCAGTTTATTAACTGTAATGCCTGACCATCGACCTTGCCAACGGGTACAGATTGCAGACTGGGTAGAAATCTTGATATAGAATCTCTTAGCGGGTAAAGGGATAGGCATGAATGGCCGCAAAGTTCCTGCCAGATAATATTTGTATGGCTGAGCACCCACCAGAATGCATACATGTGTGTTCGAGATACGCATATGTGTCTGTGTGTGTGTATGTATGCGTTTTATTAGGCTTAAACGTAGTATACACTGAAAGGCATTTTATTTAATATTTAGGTTATTTTTTGCAATATTTTGCACAAAACATTGTCTGGCTCTCTTTCGTTGCCATGATATCCAAATTCCACTTTGAGTATTCCACAATATCGCAGATATCCAAATTTAATATAGCCTATACTTTTATAGTATTTAGACTATATATCGCTAGTGTATATACGCTGCATTCCTGGAGCATATGTATATATATATATCCCTGGTATATGTATATGTATATATATATATATATATATATATATATATATATATGCTATATTCTATATATTTGCTCTAGGAGACTATATATATAGTCTCCTAGAGCAAATAGACTATATATATATATATATATCCCTATTGTATATAGTCTATATTCATAGAGTATAGCGGCTATACCTTTTCCATATAGAAAATGATGTACAAAACGTTTATAGTTCTTTACTGCAGGTCGACTATTGTGTCTGATAGTTTGTTTCGTTTGTAAATAATTATATATAAGTTATTGTTGTTATAGTTGGAAACGTGAATTACACCAATTCTGTTATTATTATTATTATTATTATTGGTGTCGTATTTTTATTATTTGTTTTTGTTTTGTTTTTAGATTACTGTATATATTTGTTCCTTTTTATGAGTATTAATTATTGAGATTGAATATTATTTTTTTTATTTTGAGCATTAAAGTAATTATCCTGAGCATTATAATAATTACCTTGAGCATTAGAATATCCCTAGCATTATAATAATATCACGAGCCTTATATTTATATTATGAGCATTATATTATATCCTTAGCATTATATTCATATTCTGAGCATTATAATAATACCAGCACTAAAGCAATCACCCTCATAATTAAAATAATCACCCTGCACAATCACTTGCCACATGAAACTTTAAAGGAAATATTATCTTTATGAACTTGTCCTGTTTCAACATCTGTCTGCCCCTGCATATATTTGCCTCTGACTTAGTATACATATATCTGCCTGTGACTACCTCTGTCTGTCAGTCTATCGCCAGATGTGTCTTGGATGACTTAGCTCTCTTCTGAGAGTCGTCATGAAAGCACATTTATTTTGTAAATAGAAATCTATTAATATTTTTCTTATATTAAATGATGACAATAAAATATGATGTGTTAATAACTTCCTCGGACACTTTGAAGACATCAGTTATTCTGCTAAATAAAATATATAATAACTGGACAAATCTGAAAAAATCAAATGTATATAGATGTATATAAATATAAATGTATGTATTATGTCATAATATATATATGTTTATATATCATATAAATGTATTATTATGTCTTATGTGGCGGTCCTCAACGCTCAGAGAGAGGACACTTCATCACCTGACACAAGAAAGATCATCACACGTCTAAGTGATTCTTAGATTAATAGGTTAAGAACAACCAATTCCGATAAAGAATAATGCTGATTTTGTTAACAAACTTTGTAATTTACAAAATTCTACGTACAGCATGTGATACATACTATATAGGAGAGAATATAAATGTGATACTATATAGGAGAGAAATTTTTAATTTCTGTCCTATAATATAGGACTCCTATAGGACAGAAATTTAACAGTTATCAGCATACATATTTTGGTAGAAATCGCTAATATTTTATTCAAGAATTTATTTGAAAATACTCGTCAAAATGATGAGAAGGTTCTTTGATAACCAATTATAAGAACATGAAACTCGAAATATTACTGAATCTGTTTACATTTTTGTAAATTATGTAATATGTATATTAGTAATGTACGTTCTTGATCATATTTAATTCACAAAAAAATTGAATAAGAAGATTACTAGGCAAACGTTTCCATTGAGAAGATTTATTGCATAATATTGAGGACTTGGCTTGATTCTATATAATCTCCTAGACTGTCTTCACTCCTGACAAACGTATCTTTGTATGTGTGGTATCGTATCCCACCACTGCCACCATTGTCGCATGTTATGAATGTGTTCCTAACTGCGCGACTCACTTATTTAGAAAACAAACATCCCAATAGTGTGAACTCAACCTCTATGAATTATCATAAATAAAGATCTTATTTCATTCAAATATTCATTAATATCCAACAGCATTAATATAAATCCTAACTCAATCATTCAACCAAAATCAATTTAATTGTATTGCTACACTCCGTAAATATACAAAAATATACAGATAAGTGATACACTACGTATCACTTATTTTGTCTTGATATTCGCCTAATACTTAACCCTTAATTCGTACAATACTTATTGTACACCAGTTATATCTGAATCTGAATCATGTAACATTCACTTTTTGTCGTAATTATCATTAGATACCTGGTTGATGGGGTTCTGGGAGTTCTTCTACTCCCCAAGCCCGGCCTGAGGCCAGGCTTGACTTGTGAGAGTTTGGTCCACCAGGCTGTTGCTTGGAGCGGCCCGCAGGCCCACATACCCACCACAGCCCGGTTGGTCCGGCACTCCTTGGAGGAATAAATCTAGTTTCCTAGATTTATTTCCTAGGCTTTAAGATTTATTTCCTAGGCTTTAAGGGTCACGTTGACCAGTGAGATGTCCATAAGATTCCTCCTTTCAGTTTGATTCATAGACAAATTAATTAGATTCATTGAATTAATTTTTTATATTAATGGAAGTGTTATTCGCTGCGATTTGTTTGACATACTGTTGAAAGCCTAAGATACTGAACTCATATACTTCAACTGAAGTTCCGGGAGGCAAGTAGGTGAGTGAGAGTGACGGCTGCTGTCTCTAACCTACTTGTTGTCACTCGGTCACAACTGGTAATTATTGTGGTAATAAAGCGTTTGGTTACGTTGCAAGTCATCCAAACATTCTTGAGACGAAGATATGACACACAAGTAGGTCACGGGTCGAGAAACATGCGTCCGGTCGACAGTGTTTTCATGCTGGATTACTGGGTGTGGTGCTGGAGTACTGGGTGTGGTGCTGGAGTACCGCATGGGTGTACGGTGGTAGTTTACCTTACAATGTTGACCAGACCACACACTACACGGTGAAGGGACGACGACGTTTCGGTCCGTCCTGGACCATTCTCAAGTCGATTGTGTCGACTTACCAATACATCGATCTCAATGAGTGACAGCGCGAGCAGAACCCATGGCGTGGGTCATCACTGAGTCATTAATCCTGCTGCCGAAAACACAGAGAAACTCCCAGATTCATTCACTAGGCACAATCGTCCATACAAGGCACCTCGCCTCATTAGGCTGTAAGTTGTCGCGGAACACAGTTGTTGAAGGTTCTTATCTCGGTGGTTGTTGAAACCATATGACAAAGTGAATTGTTAAGTTATTGGCACAATGAAACATTGGGAACATAGTAAGCAAGAAAACAAAAAGAACCTTATGATTGGAAATATTTATTTCTCAACAATATACAGATTATCATAAAAAAAAAGCATGGGTCCATTCGTCTCCGAGAGCCCGGCCAGTTAACGTACCAAAATGTACAGAATACTACAATGTTTGTTTTAGTATAAATATCAATTACTGAATAAATATTAATGTGAACAAGTACTAATGTACATACGCTTATACAGCAGTAAGTGGAACCAGTTACGGTGCACAAAGTTAGTGTGGAGCCGAGGTGTGTGGAGCACGCAAGTAGGTCATGTCAGTGTGGTGCGGCAAGTAACACTCAAGACACAGCGGCACATTACAAGCTTTACACATCATCTTTGTCCTCTTCTTGCCCAGCTTTAGCAGAGTGTGTCTGCTGCAGCTTCTGTAGCTCAGGTGTCCCAGCCAGTCGATGGCGGGAAGAGGCATGTGCTTAAGGTAACATGTGGGCAAGCCACGGCTGGACCCGCCACTTCCGCCACGGCTGAAGTGGCCACTCCCGCCACGGCTGGACCCGCCACTTCCGCCACGGCTGAAGTGGCCACTCTCGCCACGGCTGGAGTGGCCACTCTCGCCACGGCTGAAGTAGCCACTCTCGCCACGGCTGGACAAGCCACTCTCGCCACGGCTGAAGTAGCCACTCTCGCCACGGCTGGACAAGCCACTCTCGCTACGGCTGAAGTTGCCACTCTCGCCACGGCTGAAGTGGCCACTCTCGCCACGGCTGGACAAGCCACTCTCGCCACGGCTGGACAAGCCACTCTCGCTACGGCTGAAGTTGCCACTCTCGCCACGGCTGAAGTTGCCACTCTCGCCACGGCTGAAGTTGCCACTCTCGCCACGGCTGAAGTTGCCACTCTCGCCACGGCTGGAGTGGCCACTCTCGCCACGGCTGGAGTGGCCACTCTCGCCACGGCTGGAGTGGCCACTCTCGCCACGACTAAAGTGGCCACTCTGGACACGGCTGGGCAAGTCACTCTTGGCACGCGGAGTCATGTGGCGAGAGTGGCCACTCTCGCCACGGCTGGAGTGGCCACTCTCGCCACGGCTGGACAAGCCACTCTCGCCACGGCTGGAGTGGCCACTCTCGCCACGGCTGGAGTGGCCACTCTCGCCACGGCTGGACAAGCCACTCTCGCCACGGCTGAAGTTGCCACTCTCGCCACGGCTGGAGTGGCCACTCTCGCCACGGCTGGACAAGCCACTCTCGCCACGGCTGGAGTGGCCACTCTCGCCACGGCTGGAGTGGCCACTCTCGCCACGGCTGAAGTTGCCACTCTCGCCACGGCTGAAGTTGCCACTCTCGCCACGGCTGAAGTTGCCACTCTCGCCACGGCTGAAGTTGCCACTCTCGCCACGGCTGGAGTGGCCACTCTCGCCACGGCTGAAGTGGCCACTCTCGCCACGGCTGAAGTGGCCACTCTCGTCACGGATAACGTGGCCACTCTCGTCACGGATAACGTGGCCACTCTCGTCACGGATAACGTGGCCACTCTCGCCACGGCTGGAGTGGTCACTCTCGCCACGGCTGGAGTGGCCACTCTCGCCACGGCTGGAGTGGCCACTCTCGCCACGGCTGGAGTGGTCACTCTCGCCACGGGTATAGTGGCCACTCTGGCCACGGCTGGGCAAGTCACTCTTGGCACGCGGAGTCATAATGGGTGACGAAGACTGATCTCGACTGGATGGTGAATAATAATAAGGTGCAAAGTTATAAGACCTCCTGGCTGGCTCCTGAATTTGAGAGCCATGCTGGTGAGACCTTCCAAGGTGTCGACGGTCAAAGGAGCGAGGGCTGGCGTAGTGGACCAAGGGATTTAACATCTCAGGATAAACTGGTGGCATCTCTTGCTGCGACTCTGGTAGACTCTCATCCCACTCGGGTGAAAAGTATTCGTCCTCCCTCTGTAGCACGGAAAAATCATGAAGTTCGTCTGGGCTGTCGGGTAAGGGCGTCCATACTGGTGGGTGCTGATATAAGTAAGCACGAGGCTGCATGTGGTGAGACCTTGTGGCTGAGCGAGCATACGACGAGCTGCCCCAGTATGGAGCACTCAGGTCATTGAGTGCTCCAGGAGCATAAGCAGAATAAGACATCCTGCTTCAGATGAATGGCAAGCATATGGTGATATGGACCTTCACTAAGAACACTTTATTTCAAGTGACTTGCCGATTGATTGATTGATTGATAAAGCCACCTAAAAGGTGGCACGGGCATGAATAGCCCGTAAGTGGCGGCCCTTTTGAGCCATTACCAGTATCAAGAGCTGATACTGGAGATCTGTGGAGGTGCGACTGCACCCTGCGTGACGGGAGATGTCTCCCGTGGTGACTTGCCATCTACGCTCTCGACTTATATAAGGCCGTGCCAGCAACTGACCTGTTGGCACGGCCAACACGGCCATTTGGGGCGATAAATAAGCAGGGAAAAGGAGAAGTCCTCTCCTCCATTTTAAACTTAGACCCAAATATGACAGGAAAAAGGTTATCATGTATAACCAAACTCAATTACGGGCTCACCATACCCTGTGCTACATGGACACATCGTCCTGAGTAGCTAAATCTTTAACAACAACAACAACAACTGACCTGTGTGTCTCACACAAGTTACAGCCCCGCTCCTGGGCCAGGTAACTTCAGCTATATCTACTACGAGCTCACCATAGCCCGTGCTACGTGGAACTTTTTGTTCAGAGTGGCTAAATTTTAAACAACAACTGACCTGTCCTGTCAGTTTAGAATGACCAGCGGCACGCGTTACAGATGATATTGTCGATGACAGCTAGGCAGGTAGGTCAGCGGCACGGCTCAGAACTTAAGAATAAAGGTAACTGCACAAGGCCTATTGGCCCATACGAGGCTGTTCCTATTTATAACCACCCAATCCCACTCATATATATGTCCAACCCACGCTTGAAACAATTAAGGGACCCCACCTCCACCACGTTACGCGGTAATTGGTTCCACAAATTAACAACCCTGTTACCGAACCATTATTTACCTAGGTCTTTCCTAAATCTAAACTTATCCATTTTATACCCTCCTATCGTTTCGTGTTCTATTATATGTTGATGCTTTTAATACCCTATTAATATCCCTTTGTTATACTTATTCACCTCTTATGTCACCCCATAATTCTTCGCCTTTCTAAGAACATAAAAATGAAGGTAACTGCAGAAGGCCTACTGGCCCATACGAGACAGCTCCTATTTATATCCACCCAATCCTATCATATATATGTCTAACCTACGCTTGAAACAATCAAGGGATCCTACTTCTATTATGTTACGCGGTAATTGGTTCCTCAAATCAACCCTGTTACCGAACCAAAATTTACCCAGGACTTTCCTAAATAGCGTAGGTTGGATATGTATATGAGTGGGATTGGGTGGTCATAAATAGGAACTGCCTCGTATGGGCCAATAGGCCTTTTGCAGTTTTTTTTTGTTTGAGATATATACAAGAGTTGTTACATTCTTGTACAGCCACTAGTACGCGTAGCGTTTCGGGCAAGTCCTTAATCCTATGGTCCCTGGAATACGATCCCCTGCCGCGAAGAATCGTTTTTTCATCCAAGTACACATTTTACTGTTGCGTTAAACAGAGGCTACAGTTAAGGAATTGCGCCCAGTAAATCCTCCCCGGCCAGGATACGAACCCATGACATAGCGCTCGCGGAACGCCAGGCGAGTGTCTTACCACTACACCACGGAGACTGCAATCTCCGCAATCTCCTAGCAGTTACCTTTGTTCTTATGTTCTTAAATCTAAACTTATTCAAATTATACCCATTGTTTCGTGTTCTGTCTTGTGTTGATACTTTTAATGCCCTATTAATTTTAAAACCAAAGGATCACTGCATGAATGTTCGTAATAAGGCAAATAGGACACTGGGATTTATTAATCGAAGCGTTAGTAACAAGACACCTGGTGTAGTTCTTCAGCTATATCTTGCTCTGGTTAGGCCCCATTTAGATTATGCACTTCAGTTTTGGTCGCCGTACTATAGAATGGATATAAATTCACTTGAACGTGTCCAGCGTAGGATGACTAAGTTTAATTCCCAAAATTAAAAATCTTTCATATGAAGATTAACAAAGCTTAAATTGCATTCACTGGAAAGGCGAAGAGTTAGGGGTGACATGATAGAGGTTTACAAGTGGATGAATGGGCATAACAAAGGGGATATTAATAGGGTATTAAAAGTATCAACACAAGACAGAACACAAAACAATGGGTATAAATTGGATAAGTTTAGATTTAGAAAAGACTTGGGTAAATACTGGTTCAGTAACAGGGTTCTCATGTTCTTATTACCTAGCCTCAAAACCTTACATTTGTCAGCATTAAACTGCGTCTTCCAATCTTTTACCTGCTGGCAGTGTACAGTATAGTTTTTTTAATTTAGTTCATTTATTATGCACCCCATACCCATCTTGTGGGCGGTAGTGGAAAGGGTTACAGAGGCACATAATGGGCTCAGGGACTGAACCCCACAATTCATTTAGCTAAGCAAGTTACAATCTTGATGAGCTTTTACAAAATTCAATATAAGTCGTCATATCATCAATGGGGTCGAGAGCGTCCACAAGTACAGTTTCTAAATTAAGCAACTGACATATGTGGAGAGCTAGTGTCACAATTGATATGTTTGTCCTGCACACCGCCCCCCATCCAGTGGGCAGCGGTGGATAGGTTAACAATCACTTAGTTACTACCTACAGTTAGCAAACTGGGGATATTCAGCTAAAATTTCTTGTAGCAGATAATTTTGAATAAAATATTTACACGTCTTTGGAACATTTGTTATAGAATTGTCTCTGAATTCACGTATCTTTTCGCATTCCATCCTTACATTTGTCAACATTAAACTGCGTCTTCCAATCTTTTACCTGCTGTAGGGCACAGCAGTTATTTTTTTCACCGTCTGGCAGTGTACAGTATAGTTTTTTTTTTAGTTTAGTTCATTTATTATGCACCCCATACTCACTTCATGCAGGCCGGCGTTCAATCCTCGACCGTCCAAGTGGTTGGGCACCATTCCTTCCCCCCTTCCCATCCCAAATTCTTATCCTGACCCCTTCCCAGTGTTATATGGGCATAATGGCTTGGCGCTTTCCCCTAATAATTCTCTCTCTCTCGCATTCCATCACATAGTGAAGGAGGGTGTGCGAATAATTTTGTTGACACAGTTTACATTTGGTCAGGTCTGCATCAGCAGATAATGAGAATTCCCAGAGATATTTGTAACCGAGTCTAAGCCGAGAAGTAGTAACCTCTAGAAGTCTGCTAATTTTATTGGATGAACCATAGATGTACCTCCTGGCTTCAGTTTTTCCTCACGGCCCACGGGAACGTTGGGGAGCATACAGCCCTGTGCTGTAGCTACCCCTAACAATACAATAACAACAACTGGTCGACTTACAGGAAGAGGACATCAGTCTTTATCATCCTCAACATAAACGCCTCTCCCAACATCTGTACTGGTGCAGTCATCGGGAGGACAAACCCTTCATGCAAACTGCACCTACTATCAAGAAGAAGAAGAAGAAGGCATCAGTCTACTGAGCACAGTTATCTCAGTCCATTCACATTTTACAGTTATCTCAGCTTTGACTTCAGCATCACCATCATGAACTCTGACGAAGAACTTGCAAGACGGCTACAAGCTGAGGTATGACACTGGAATCATGGAATGACCTCCCTAGTCACATTTCAAAACTGTTCCTCTCTCAACCACTTTAAAAGAGAAACTATGTACTACCTTAACTCTTGCGTAACCAACCTTACTTCCTAAATATCAACCTGTGTTTTTTCTGTTATTGAACATGACTTACTGAACCTGTACTACTACTGATAGCTGCCGTGTAAAGTTTTATCAAATTGTATGCAATGTTCATTCTCTTCTTAAACTTTTAATTGCATACCGTAACAATTATTATTAACTTTTTCTCTGTTGCAATACTTGCAGTTCTAATTATATACAAATTTTCAATTTTATTCCTCTTCATTCATAATTGTTTTTTATTTCATTTAGTTTTAAAAGTTATCTAATTAAGCATGTTATTGTTCACCAAATTTTTTTTCTGCATTATGCCCAAAATGCTCTTTCCATTAGTGGTTTTAGGCATTCTATTTATCTTACCTAGGAATCCTCCACTGTTCTTGTATCTTTTGTATGTGAGGAGCAACGGTTTCAAGCTCAACAAAACATATTGATGAGGGATGAAGATTAAGCCAGCAAAGAGGTGACACAGGCATGAATAGTCCATAAGTGGTAGATTTTTTTGGAGTGAATGTGATCTTTGGTCATGAAAGGATATACTGTGTGCTGAGCTTGCATATAAATTGTCAGTCCTTACTATGTGGCTGCTATTGTGGGGAAGGATACTGCTTGACAGTATTTATGAGGGTGTCAAGCTGCTGGACACCTTTCTTGACCAGAAAGGTCAAGAAAGGTATATATATATATTTATATATATATATAAATAAAAGACTAGGGGGAAAAGACTGATCCTTTGACAAAGGAGTTAGATCAAGCGATTAATAATTGACCTGATTTTACCTGAGAACTATTATCTCTAGTGGCCTCAAAAGGGACACGAAGCTGGCAAGTTGTCACAAGATCAAGAAACATCAATACAGAAAGAATATTTAAAAATATTTTTTCAGTAATAGAATGCTGTAGTTGGGATGAAACAATTTAGGAGGAAGTTGTGTCAAAACTAGTGCTAGTTTTAAGACTGCAGTTGATAAATTTTATGAAGAATACTAGTTGAACTAATTCTGCAAATAATTTTTTTTCACACACACACACACACACATAGTAGGAGAGCTAGAATTTTCTGAATATTTAGCTGCAATTATCCATATATGTAATGCATCACCAACAATTACTTCTAGTTTGACGAAGAAGCTAGAGCTGCAGAAGAACAGGTGCGTCATGATGCATCATTTGCCCAAGATGTGGCCTCTCAGTCCCATGATGTGTCAGAGAGTGATGAAGAAATTGAAGAAATCAGCCAAGGAGCAAGGCACCATGTGATGCCACATGTTAGTACAAGGAAGTTACAAGTGCTGGATGTGGACACTGAAGATGGAAACAAAGCAGTTTTACCTAAGATTAACAACTCGCCACACAAGAAAGGTTAGCTCTGTTATTTGCTAAATATTTAATGACAGAGAAGTGTTATATTTGTTCCATCTGCGCTCTGTTTGATACAGATAACTGTTAGAATATAGTGAAGTTGTATAAGATTTTGAATAATATTAAATATGATTCTGAAATTTAAAAGCAATATAGTAATTATAAACATCATTTGTTAATTTACAAGTACAGTACTATATTATACTGTACGGGTTTATCTGAATCTTTAAGAGAGAATGTCTTTCTGTTTGTATAAGATAGAAGAACAGACATTTGGGGCTAGCCACACCCAGCTTTGAGATGACTGGTGAGGGGGAGGTGACCAAAATAGGTGGATCAGGGTTGGTTCCATTGCTCCCACTACAAGGAGGTTGGCTTCCCAAGAAATTCCCTCTCTCCCCATGAAATTAGTGGACATGAAAGACAGTTAGCTGAGTCCCTAGAATTTCATAATTTAGAGCCACCTTAGAATATACTGTTTAAAAAAAAACTTAAAAACTAGTGCAAAGGTTGTCAAATGTGGATTGTATTTGGCTCCCATGGCACAACCTTTTGAGGCACAGGTCCATCCAGGCCTTCAACACTTAAATGGCAGAACCTTTTGGGATGACTTGGGCAGTGTACTTATAAATAAAATTAGCTAATTTAGAGTTCTTGTTGATCCTTAACCATTAATGTGCAGTCTTCATCATTTGTTGATCTCCTAAGCTACCACAGTTATGATTATTTGATGATTATCTGAATTTTACTTGAGGGAAACCATCTCTCTAGTGGCCTCGAAAAGGACAGGAAGCAGGCAACTTGTGTAGGTCTCCCTATTTATCCTGATGGTTTTATCCAGCTTTATTTTTAATTGTTTGGTATTTGGAGCTTTGGCAGACAGGAAGTTCCATGGATTTATAACCCTATGGGTGAAAAAGCATCTCCTGTTTTCCATCCAACACTGTGACTTGTTAAGATTGAAGCCGTTGCTCCTTGCATGTGTTACTTCTGACATTTTAAAGAAGTGGCATACTGTATTTCAATTACCCCCAAACTGTTCAGGATTTTAATAGTTTTAATGAGATCAGCACTGTTATGTCTGGTGTTGTTAGTCCTGGAACTCTCAACTATTCCTAGTGCGAGTCAACTTAGTCGACTTAATTGACTTAGTTGCCAAGTTTGTATATCAGTGATGTTAAAATGGTTATAATACATTCTGTATGAATTTAATGTAGTTAACCAAGATAACAAAAAAACTGGATCATTTTATGATGGCTTACAGTACAAATAAGACCATTGTATACTAGGGGCTGCAGCTAATGTTTGAATCCATGCCTGGAGTCCTGGATGATATTCCCAGACAGAATCACACCAAAGAAGTGAGTTGCAAGACGCTTCCTTTGAGCTGTGCCAGGAACAGTTTTACTTGCAGTAGATGTCTTGTTTTTATCAAGTACCAGTATGTGTAAATTATTCAAGTATTCAACACAAACACAACATTAAGTGAAACAATGAAGATAAAAGTTGAAGGCGAACATGTGCATCTTCTCCCAGTACTGTACCACTGTGTCTGGCATTAAAATAGACAATGAAGCCGGCATCTAGCTTCCTTTTACAGCTGACTAAATTAGAAAAGATATGGATTTTTTCCATTTTCCTTGCTTATGGCATTCAAATGTATCATTATATAAAAATAAATTATTTTTGATGGGACCTTCCCCTCTGTATCTTCCTGAGCTGTCCACCTGGAATCCTCCAAATCCAGTTATTGTACCATGCCAGGCTCTAATAACCCACATGTGCCTACCAGAAACCTGTACCAGAATCTGGCTCCCTCAATAGAGACGTTGTTGACTCCCTCACCATAGGGAAATGTGGAGAAATATCACCCTAGTACCAATGGATCACCCATGAGAAAGGTAGTGTGCACCAAAATAAGAAACTGCCTGGACAATATTTGCAACCCTGATTTGGATTATGTACACACTGGTTGTCTAGGTCAAACCGCAAGTTGGCACCACTTCGAGGGGTCTCGAGCAGCCACTAGTTCCTCTAGGCTCTTCACTGCTCTGTGGGCATTGGAAACTTAGCTAAGTATTTGCTATCCTTTGGACTATGTGCAGTACAAGAGCCTGTGCTTTTTTTTCTCCCCATAAAAAATGTGCTTTCATGCCAATCCAATTCATGCCAATGAGCAAGTGATCATGTGGCATGATCACTTGTTCTCCTTGGCTGCTTGTGGCTAGAGTTGCCTTTCTGGCTGCTGCTGGGATTGCCTCTGCAATCCCAAAGTTTCCTACGCAGTCAGGGTTCTCTTGCCTGAGGGGAGAGGGGGGGGGGTTCAGGTGTGTTCCCCCCCTGGGGTTGTGCCCTGGATGATGCATGTACGTATCCTCCTCAGTAGGACCCGGTGGTTGGTGTTGGTTGTATTGTGCTTCTTTTTCATGGGGATCTGCTGTATGCAAGTGTTTTCAGTTTTTATGCTCTGATGACATTTTGTGTGCCTCTCCAACCATATTTTCCTAGGTCAGGAGTTGGCTTGCATTTAACATTCTCTTCCTCCAGCTTCTCTGCCAGTCTGCTCTAGGTTGGTACCAGAGGTGTCCTAGTAAAGCTTGTTGTAGTGGAGGTTATGACACTTCCCTCCAAGTTTGCTGCTATGAAACCATAGTAGCAAACTCGAATATTAATACATAATTACTAATGAAAGCAAATTTATTTGTCACTAGTGTCAAGTCGGAATGTCAAGGAACACAACTTGTCTGATGAAGATGAGCCAAGTACTTCACAAACCAGTAAAGAACAAAATGTTTCTGTTGACTCCCAGAAACTTCCAAACAATGGTAATTTATTTTTTTGTAGTACTGTATTTGTATTTTGTTTATTTTAATAATGTACTTGGTTTAGAAAGTTAATTATAAATATATATTTTTAAATAAAATGCAATTTAATTGGATTATTCAGATACTTCCTTGTATAAAAGCTTTGCACATCTATAGCAGGGATGATCAAAGAACACAGCATAACATGTCATTAAAAATATATATATACTGTACTGACAATGGAATAAACTTAAGACTGCACTGTACAGAGCAATGTGTTCAACCTTGCAAAGAATACCATGAATAAACTTGCCCCTATAGTATTAATAATAGTGCATTTATTATATGAATCTCCAACTCAGATATTACCAAGTCACAAGAAGAGAAAGTGAAAAAAAGGCCACTTTGCAAGTTTGGTTCTGCCTGTTATCGAAAGAACCCCTGGCATCTGGAAGAATTCTACCATCCGCACTTGGATTATAAAGGTGGAGGAACTACAGGAAATAGTAATAGAGGTAATATTTAAATAATAACTGTGCAAGGGATACTCATCACAATCTTAGTGTTCTCAAACTCAGATTTTGCCAAGCATATGTTACACTCAGTTGTTTTAAGATAAGTGGCATTTATGTTGAATCCATGAGGGATCACTCATGAGAAAATAGACAACCATTTCTGGGATATAAAAAAAAATCCATATATAAATACTTTCACTTAGTAGTGTATGTTGGTCCTGGCAAGAAGATGGTGTGGTTGTAGAAGTAGAAAGAAGTGTTACTGGTAAGCTGCAGAAGTGCTAGGTTCACTGGAACCTGAGGGTAAATATTCAGTGTGAGGTCTTGTTTCATTTCCATATTTCATCTCTGCCATGAGGATCCTTTGTTGTGCAATCTGTATTCCTGTGATTAAAATCTCCAAGTTCTAGAATCTTTGCCCTGACTTTCCTTGCCACCGTGGTCACCTTTTCTATTATCTTCAGGCATGTTTCGTTGCATTTATCATATTCCTTCCTTGACCTTCCTGAATTTAATGGAGGGTTGTAAAAACACCTGCCACTATTATCTTCATGCTCCCAGCTGTTATCATATCTAGTATGAAGAACAGATGTCATCATCACAGTGAAACCACATATCCAGCTCACATTTATTGCTGCCTGTTCTGTTCACATAGCCAAAAAGTTCTTCTCCTGTATCTCTCTCATCTCTACCTTTTTCAAACTCTGAAGTCATCAACATACCAACATCACTGACATTATCATTAGACCTACCAGTTATAATAGCAGTTGAGGAAATATTGCTGTGGGCCAGTGTTTTATAAGTATTCTTCACACTTGAACTTTATATGCCATACAGTTTCTATCCTCACTGTGAATGTGAGGGGCTATTATCAGAATTTGTGATTACATTACGCACTGTGCAATAAAGCCTATGGATACTAAATATATGTGGATATGACATCTGTAAAGTAGGTAAAATAACTATGAATATTGGTGTCACTTGGGAGGTATTCAATGAATGGGAAAAATGCCTAGCAAGAAAGAAGTGACAAGAGAAATTGATAGCTAGAAAAATCTAGGGTTTCTGTGAATACAAATTAAAGGGAAATTATGAAATTATCCCGCGGCTTCTCCGAAGCACAAACTGGGGTTTCACACAATTCCCCCCATGCAACATACCAACAGAGAGACAGAGCATGTTGCAAACGGACAGAGCATCACAATTCCCTCATGTGCATGGGGGAATTGTGTGAAACCCTGGTTTGTGCTTCGGAGAAGCTGTGGGATCCTTGTGAGGGCAGTAGCACTCCAGATTGCAATTTTTTTTTACCATGTGGCACAGTTAACTAAGGTGTGTCTGGGATCATCCCGGACGTAGGTTCGAACCCTCATCACGGCCCTTGTGGATTTGTTTATGCGTTTCATGTTTGATGACAATAATTTTGTTTGTTTATAGAAAACTCAAGAGATGAAGGATCTGAGCCACCAAAAAAGAAGCCCAAAGATTCTGCACCAGATGAGGCTACTAAAAAGAGCATAAGGTAAAGTAATTTTTTCCTTATTCTAGTTAAAATATGCATACATTTTGTTTTTAAGGTAATTTGCCATACTATGCAATTAGCTGTAATATACATTATCCTCTTTAAATTTTAAGAATTTGTTGATATTTTCCATTATTTGAAACTGAGATCTTACAAGGAAGAAGGAATGTCATTGAAACTCTTAGTTTCAATTGTTTTGTTAGCCAATTATGTTCAGAGTTAGGCAGTGGGTTGCTAAGAGGAACCAGTTAAATTATTCAGTTACATGTTGAGTTTATTTTCTAGAAGGGCTTCTTCAGTAGCTTCTCAGGCTAAGCACTGGTGTAGCTAAGCATTAGGGAAGATGCACCAAACCTTTGTGGATCCACTCTTGCATACCAGGTAACAAGACCAGTCCGGCTGCCTCTCCAGGGTGAGGGTGGGAGCCTGAGAATTGTAGATCAATCCAAAAACCTGGAAGAAAAAAATGCCACAAATTTCATGCAGCAAAACAAGCCACAGCTTGAAGAAAATTAGGTGGCCTCAGGTAACAAGACAAACAATCATTGCCATGGTGTAAACACCCTAACCATGATGTGCCTGACTGCCACAAGGTGGTAGTCTTATGTACTGGTACCCGAGGGTCAAACTCAACACTCACCAAGCATCTGTGACATTCTCATGACCTATTGAAAGCAGGTACCAGATTCCTGCCCCCTCAAGGAGGCTAGGGAACTGAGAGAGAGTCATAAGACTTCACACACACTAAAGAAAGTGGGAAAGTCAATGGGTGGTCCTTCCCTTTTCTCATGGTTAGCCCTCCTGTTTGTTCTCCTTGGGGGAGTTAGCCTGGGGATCCACCAAGTAGTGCTCCAGAACTCTAACATTGATTGTTGGATTTCTGCCCCCCCCCACCCCCCACCCCCCCCACCCCCCCACCCCCCCACCCCCCCCCCCCCCCCACCCCACCCCCCACCCCCCCCACCCTCCCACACTCCTCAGTAAAGGTACAGTACAGGGAAATCTGGGAATACAAGATCATGGAGCTGAAGGAGAGACCATCAGGAAAGTAGAGTGCACCAAAGCAAACAGGTACTTGAACAAAATTTACAATGCTGATACAAACGATGAGGTCATGGGTGTTTCGCTGGATGCTATGCCGCTTTGCCCCAGTCTGCTTCTTAGAAAAGCCAATCTTCTCTGCTTAGGCATCATTGGAAATTAGTACTGGGAAGCTACTGAAATCAAGAAATCAAATTATAAATGTAAAGAACTGCCCCTTTCTGGTAAGCCACCAAGCAGCCCACCATTCCTTACCCTGCTCCCTACTTTCCTATGGAAATCAGGGTACTGTATTTCCTTTTGAGTGGTTCAGTGATGAGGTGGACGGCTGGTAGCAGGGCTGATCCTAGGGTTAGTGGTGCCATAGGGCAAGCTATGCTTTGGTGCCCATGTAACCTGTTTGCAACATATTATACTGTCTTGATTGTCAGTGCAAAATGAAGATAACTGAATAATGATTAATAATAATGTAAATGAAAATTACCATGACTGAATTTATTAATGTGTGTACAAAAATATTATGAAAGGTCAAACATTTAATAATTATTTAGTTGGAAATATAATCTATAAGACAACTTAGTGGGATATTTAACGAGTGCTCGCCAATATTCTATTATATTTTTTTATGAATTTTCACATTTTGTTTTGTATATGGAAGATTTTAGACGTGTTACGAGGTACCCCTCTAGCATTTGGCACCCCTGGACAATTGCCCGAATTTGCTGTACCTCAAGGAGTTTGTTTTTACCTGCTCACCTTGAAGAGCACCTCGTTCTGGTGCTGGCTCCTGACAGGCTTTAGTGAGTCTGAGGCCTGGTGTGTTCTCCTAAGGCTCAATAACTCCAGAGCTGTAGTATCAAGGAGCTATTAGGTTATCCAACGGAACCGGAATTTTCATTGCACTTGGTGCTAATATTTGTTTTATGAATATCATACACAGTATATGTTTTACTGAATAAGGTTAATTCCATATGACTTTTTTATTTGTATCCTTATAAACCTTTTCTGATAGTCTATAAGGATAAAAATTCATATATTATGTTGCAATAATTACTTATTAAGTAAATGGTGGTACAGGTATTAAATATGAAGGTTCCGGTAGTACAGTCGGGTTCATTCTTGATGCACAATCCAGAATTCTGGGTTCGAATCCCAGGCGGGACAGAAATGGTTGGGCATATTTCCTTTCACCTAATGCCTCTTTTCACCTAGCAGTAAATAGGTACTCAAGAGTCAGCTTGTTGTGGGGTTGTATCTTGGACAGAGTCAGTAATTTAACCTTGGGGGGAACCTCAATATAAGCCAAACATGTATGAATACATTCTGTTTATTATTATATAAACAAAAATTTGACAGTTCAAAGCATTCATGTGAAAAGCTTAGGAGGTAGTGAGAAGAGAGAGAGGAAGATAGATTATAATTATTGTTTGCAGCATTTTTAGGAATATTTTTAAATATAGTTTTATCTTGTGAGTTGTGATGACATTGGTGACTTGAGATGCCAGTCTTGATTACCCTCATGTAATTGAGTACAGTTTATGATGCAGTATGACACTGATAGATGGAAATTAATCATTGCAGCTCCAAGATGTCCTTCCCGTCTCGTCTTGCTGCCAGTAAACCTTTTAATCTGTTTCTCAACAAAAGCTTCAGCATAAAGGAAACTCATGAAGATCCATTGACTCTAGTTTTTCCAGATCTTCTCAATTCTCAATTGGGAGAGGTTGTGGAGTCTGTCCAGGTATGTTCTTTGGTTAGTGTTTATGGCTTGATTCCATCCATCCTAATATTTTAATGAATTTGCTTAGCTATTCCTGTCTACCTATACTATGTATGAATGTATAGTATGTACTCACCTATTTTTGCATGCTGGGGTTAAGCTTTGGCTCTCTGACCCCACCTCTCAACCATCATTCAACTGGTGTACAGGTTTCTGAGCCTACTGGGTTCTATCATATCTACGTTTGAAACTCTATGGAGTCTGCCTCCACTATATGTATGTATGTTTAACATGTCACTGAAGGACACATTTTACTGAAGCTCTCTCAAACGTCTAAGGAGGCAATGAATACCTAGTGGCTGGGAGTACAGTAATATATAAACCATGTAGGATGAGGTGCACTGTAGTGAGGGTCTGTTTGTCCTAGGCAAGCTGACACCCATGGAAGGTTCAGATCTGACTCCTTTATAACATGTTTGAAATGCATATGGGTTTTACAGTTCATAACAAGAAAATAAAAAAATACCCTGTAAATTGTTAAGTGAGGTGATGATTAAATTTTAGGTACAGTAATTGTGTTTGGTGTTGAGTTTGGAGGTTTCCAGACATGTCAGGGTGCTCTCTAGCATTTAGTCACTGTGTATATGCCATTGTTGTTGTTGACTTGTGCTGGTCCTGGCTGGAATAGTGCTACCACCTGCTCCTCCTCAGGTGGGGAAGGGGGGAAGGGTTGCTTCTACATTCAGCCAGGTGGGTATGATTTTCATCCCAAGCTTGCACAGTGCTCCAGGATTGTTATCCAGGCAGAATCCTTATACCACAATCATGAAACTACAGAGGACCCAAATTTAAGAGGAGGCAGAGTTTAGGTTAGCCTTGCTTAAAAACTGTCTTTGTCTTTTGTTTACATTTGAAAATTAAAACCATAATAATACTGTTGTGATGTTATTACACGCAAGATATAATCTGCCAACATGTAAATTCATTATTGGGTTGTATTGATTCTTCCAATGATTTTCAGCTGAACTTCATGGTTGACCTTGACTTTCTCATGAGCAACTATAAGGCTGGTGGAGTAGACAGAAAGCCTCTGCTTGTAATGTACGGGGAAATGGAAGGTGACCCCAAAGATTATTCTTCCCTGACATGTGTTAAGGTTAGTTCTTCATACTAGACTCTCAATTGTATAATAATATCTGTATTAATTGTTATTGATTAATTCATGTCAACAATGAATGAAAAAAGTCCGCTCATGGATGTCAACCAACAAACTTACACTAAACATAGAAAAGATCTACTTTTTTTTATTTGGTAGTAAATCATCAAATTAGATTCAACTTCAGATAGACAATGTTAACATTACCAGTAAAAATGAGGGAAAGTTCCGTGGCCTATACATAGACAAGAGACTAAACTTCAGCACCCACATAGCCAAAAAATTAAAAAAAAAAGTCGGTATACTTTCTAAAATCAGATATTATGTTCCCCACTCTGCTCTTGTCTCATTATTCTATGCACTAATCTATTCCTATCTTAAATATGGTATCTGTGCATGGGGGTTCAACCCCTGCAAATTTCCTCAAGCCTATCATCACTCGGCAAAAATCTTCAATCACAACTATATCAAACTCTGTCTTCAGACAACACACAGCCTCTCTGTTTAAGTCCCTTAACATGCTAAACATACACTCACTCCACACATTCTCATGTACTATCTACATGTACAAAACCTTGTTCCTAAATGCTAATCTTGAACTGAAATTTTTCCTTGATTGGTGTAATAGAACCCATGAGTACCACACCAGAAATAAATATCTTTGATATCCCCAGAGTCAGACTAAATCTGTGCAAACACTCAATGCAAATAAAAGAGCCCAGTCTTTGGAACTCACGCCCTGATGAATTAAAAGATTGTCCAACCTCTATGATCAAAAGTAAAAGCAAAAAGTACCTAATTTCATCCTCATAGTTTCCTACCTGGTACATCAAACACACACTGTATCTTGTACTACCCACTTCCCCCCAATATTAGTACAGTACATACGACATATATCCTTACCAGTGTAATCACCTTTGTCAACTTATATTGTAGTTATTTGTTGATATATTAAACTTTACTGCAATGTACCTTTTCATCTTACCTGATAGATTAAGGACCTGCCCGAAATGCTATGCCTGTTAGTGGCTTTGCATGAATGTAAAAATACAAATCTTGTGTAATCTCACCAACTCATTGTACCTTCTTGCAAATAAATTATTATTATTATTCATATATTAATAAAAGACAAATGCAAATCAAATTAGCAATATTAGGAACTTTTATTTAAATGTCTCGTTGCTATAATCAAGATATAAATAGTTAACAAATCAAAAATTAAGATTTTATCATAAGACCTGCATTATGATAATGGAAGCATGTTCTAAATCTTACCAGAAAATAAATTATATCATAATGTAATTACAACTTTCACATTAACTAGCCATCCATAACTATTCATCCTGTTCACAATTTTAATATACTAAGAGCTTCTCTTCTCCAGTTACCTAGTGTCTAATTATTCACTCATCATCTCTGTACTCTTTCTATTCAAACTGCTATAAATTCTCTTTCCTGGGTAGGGCTCCTCAGTAGTTTCCCTTAGCATATGGCACTGGCACCTTGGGGGCCATGTTAGACACATCAAGCTTCCAAGACAATCTCAGCCCACTGGGTAAACCTGCATGTTGGGGGACTCCAAGGTATCATTCTGATGGCATGCGGTCATATTACTGTGTGGGGGAATTTCCTTGCTGCAAAATTAGTTTTCTCTAGTTATCCTTAGGGTTACAAATAGCTTTCAAGCAGATCCTTGTTTTGATGCACATTAAATTTTTCATGTTTTTTCTAGGTTTTAGGTGATCTCTTGATTTTCAAGTTCCCTTGTCATGTAGAATGTGGGTCTCAGAGTGATTCTTTAAGGCTTGGTAACCCTAATGCGTTGCCTCATGTAGTTACTGAGTGGCTTGTCAGAAAGAGCCATTTCATTACATTCAGTGTGTCATTTATTGCACCCCTTCATACTCATTACACTAGTAATAATTACTTTCTATATTCATTAAACAATCCTGTTTGTCTCGTGACTTATGCTGGCCCATAGATATCCTTCACAATTGCTCTCATGCAATTAAACCCATTTTTGTTTGAAATTGTCAGGATGCTGCAAAATATATTATTATCTTCCCTTGAAATATAGAATGGTTATGTTGGTATTACCCACAGGTCAATCTTCCATTTCTTTATGGGACTCACCACACTAAGATGATGATATTCCAGTATCAAGATGGCCTTCGGGTTGTTGTACACACTGCAAACCTTGTCCCAGATGACTGGTATGAAAAGACCCAGGGATTCTGGGTGTCTCCTGTGTTTCCAGTACTAGGTGAGGCTCATTCCTTCATCTGCTTTGTATAATCTGTCATTCATATTTCATGCATAATAATCTAATTAAAATTTGTTTAGTGCATATATTTAGATCTTCTTGATTGATGAAAATGATACACTATCATTTCACACCTCCACCAATCAACTGAGTAGTGTTTTCATAGGGCCATTGTTTTCAGTGATGACCTGGCCACAATTTCTGGTCACACTTTATTAGTACCTTGTGGCCCCTTATAACATAAACAACTTGAGTCTAAGGTATGATCTGCTGTATCCTTAAGACAGATTCATTCACAGTAAGGCTGGATGACATACTGTACCGGTGTAATAGGGAACTTTTCAAAAGTGTTCTTGCAGGGGCATTAAGGTGCCAGAGTGACCAGCAGCAATTAATAACAGTCTAAGCTCTATTGATGTCTTTCTCCTAGACATAACAAATGACTGTCAGAGTGCTCTGATTAACTACTAGTTGACCTTGAATACCTATGATGATTTCCAGCAGGTGGCAACACCATACACATCAGATTCACCCAGGTTATTCTCGGGAAGCTCTGTCTTGGCAGATCCAAGTAGTGGCCTACCTCGACAGTTGGTTGATTTGTGCTCCTAGGCATGGCACTTACCTGCTAGTCAGGGATTTTGTGCTATCTATGCTGGTACTTCAGCTTCTTTGTCAACTGGTGGAAGAACCAGCTGTGGCTGACCTAGTCTTTGGCTTAGTTATTGGTCTGGGACACCAAGATTGCCTTTCTCTCTATTAATGTCAGCTTTGCTGCATTTGTGAGATCATCTGCAGTTGATATTGGCCAGGTCTCAATTATTCCATTTGCAGCACTTCTTGTGACTGCAGTAAGTTTTGCCTCACCTTGTAGAGAGAGCCAGATTCTTGTCCTGACTCCCAGTAGAGTCAGGTTGGTCTGTCAGTTATTCTCTAAGACTTGATAGTTCCAGTGCTTTAGCTTAGGACGCTACTGGTGGTTCACCAGAAAAGAACATTTCACAACATTCGCTGTTTGAATTGTTAATTAAAAAGAGAAAGTAATTTCACTATTACCACTCATCATTTATATTTTTCTTGTTTATTTAGTTTTTCTTTTGCCTGTTTCAGAAAATGGGAAATCTGGCCTTCTAGATGGAGAGTCACCCACACGCTTCAAACGTGACCTAATAGAGTACTTATTGTCATACAAAGCTCCTGACCTCACACGCTGGTCAAATATCATTAAGAAATATGACTTTAGTAGCTGCAAGTGAGTCATACTTATATTTTATAGAAGAAAGATTTAACTAGAGTTTAGTACATTTTGTATTAGTGTATTGAGTAAACTTTTGCATATTCAGTATTGTGCCATCGATGAGTTTGCATTTTTGCTGACAAAATGTGTACGAGTGATGAAGTGAGTCAACCAATCACAAATTAGCCAAAAGTGCCACCCATGCCTAACAGGATACTAAGTCCTTATTGTTTATTATAGTCACATTACTTTGACCTTGGATTACTCTTGGATTTAGGGACTTTTTATTATTTTTGTGAACTCTACCACTTTGCTGGACAGTGTCATGCTCTCTCAATGACATGACCAAACAACACCCAGGCTAGACTAACACTACTTGATGCAGTGCGGATCTTTTCAGTATTCCTGTTGTTTTCAATATAATCAGTCCATTAATAAGGAAAGGGAGAAACTAGATTTCCCTGTATAGCCCAGAATGATATCTAGAAGATTTAAACACCGGTATATAAAATTTTGTATATTTCTGTTCATGTATTTTGATATACAACACATGTATATCAAAAACTTTCAAGGCCTAGGCCTTGAAAGTTTTTTACATACATGTGTTGTTGAATTGTGAAAATACTGCTGGAAAATTATAGGTTATGAAGAAAAGATTGGTGTTAAAATTAATGTTCATATTTCTTCTTATTCTTGTTATACTTTTGGCATGGATATTGGGGCCATAATAAATTAATTGAACCTGAAAGGGGATTGTTGTAAGCCTTTAAGTGTTTATTTCTTCCAGTGTGGTGTTTGTGGGCAGCACTCCTGGGTATCATATAGGAGAGTACAAAGACCGCTGGGGACACATGAAGGTTCGCAGGATAATACGACAACATGCAAGTACTTGGAAGTCATCTTCACCAATAATTGTTCAGTGCTCCTCCATAGGTGACTTTATTTTGATGTTGGTACTGTACTGTATTAAGTGAAAAAGTCAGGCTGTGCCATATTGGCACAGTATTATTAACATGACCTACTATGTCTTCATTGTTTAATAATATAATATCATACATTGCAGTTGCAGTGGAGGAAGTTGCAGTTACTAGTGCTAATTATATTTAAATCTAAAGTGTGCAGATAAATTGTAAAAAGCTAATGTCAAACATCTACTGAGGTTTGATTAAGCCCTTTTGTGCACTCTGTAATCCTTTTGTGCTTCATCTCGCAGAATGAGCACAATAAGGTAGCTGCTGCTGGTAGCAAGGAAGTATAATACACCTGCTTCTGGGCAGCACCTAGGTAGCATCTTGCTCTTTCCCCTATGTTTTCCACATTTATCATTATCACCATAGATAGCTTGGGCTTGAGAGTGACTGAAAAGTTTTAGCAGGCGATTCATCTTGGTAGTGGGTTGGTTTCTGATCTCCATGTTCTTCCCACCTTCTTGAGGGGACAAGATGGATTAAAAAGGCCCTTCTCCCTGGTGGTCTGAAATAGTCATCTGTCCAAATTGTGCTAGTGACATAAACAAAGGGGAGCTTCAGAAGTGCTGCTCAAAAAGGAGTATGTCATTACACTTGGCACTTCATTTTTAATACATTATTTTGTTATTTTTTATTAGAATAATTTGTAGTACCCTTTTGATGTCCAATTAGTATAGTTTTCCTGATGGAATTTATGCAATTTGTCCCGTTTGCTAAAGACATAAGCAGACAGCTTCAGGTCTTTCATTTAGAGACTAATGTTGGAAGGGGGGGTTCCTTTCAGTGGAGCCAGCCCTGTATATACATGACACTGTTCTTATAAATTTTGTCAGATTCTCATTTTCTAAGAAATGACTTTAATGTTTACAGGTAGCTTAGGAAAGGATGCCAAATCTTGGTTAAGTGGAGAACTTGGCATTAGCTTCACTGGGGCAGCTGCATTGTGTCCCAGTCCTCCACTGGTAAGAAACATGTAATACTTAACAATTTACCCACATGTTGACCAGACCACACACTAGAAGGTGAAGGGACGACGACGTTTCGACGATGTTTTGGTCCATCCTGGACCATTCTCAAGTCCAGTTCTCAAGGACTTGAGAATAGTCCAGGACGGACCGAAACGTCGTCGTCCCTTCACCTTCTAGTGTGTGGTCTGGTCAACATACTTTAGCCACGTTATTGTGACTCATTGCCTGCATATGAATTTACCCACATCTCTTTTTCTTTCAAAGCTACATATACCTCTGATGTGTGGCATATGCAACCACACATCAGTGGCACACTATTCCTTCTACTTTTTTGTCTGTATTTAATAAAGTTTCCATATCCAAGGGTGTAGTCTGTTCATAAAGTATACCTTTAATATTTTGTTTGCTCTTTTCTTTCTATTGATATTTATTATTGTGACATCTTTGTGTTAATGGATATATCTGAACATTTATCAATTGTTAGTCATTGCAGATGTTGCATTTACACTAATTCTCAGAGTATGTTGTGGAGGTATAAACGGTTAAGTATTGCCATATGTGTAAAACATTTCAATTTATTTTGAGTTACAGATGGTGTCAGACCCTATTTAGTTCAGAAGGGAGTTAGGTCCTATATAGTTAAGAAGTGGGTAAGGCCCCTATTTAAATGATCAGCAGAATGGGAATTCACATGTGTTCAGTAAGCACTCTCTGGCACCGACTTCAGTAGCTCAAATCTCTGGGGAAATTCAGCCCAAATCAAGGCCTGGTTTATGCATCACTTGATTCAAACAAAAATTTGAATTACAGGGCTTTGCCTTCAGGTTACTGAACAACATGTAGTGGCCTTTATTCATAATACAGTATTCAGTTACATTTAAAATAATGTATTAATAAAAGAATAATTTAGATTAATATAAAATATTATATGAATAATTTATTTAATTGTTAGAACTGCATCTTTGGGCTCTATGATATACTTCCTTGCTAAAATGAGGTCATTTTGCAGGAGATGAGTCACAATAACGTGGCTTGAAGATATGGGAACTAAACCACACACCTGAAGATGAGGAGACGACGACGTCTCAGTCCGTCCTGGACCATTATCAAGTCGATTGTCAACGTTGTCGTCGAAATGTCGTTGTCTCCTCATCTTCTGGTGTGTGGTTTAGTTATCATGAGGTAATTTTATGTTTGGTGGCTTACGAATCATGCCAGCCCCACTTGTATCTGTCCCTACCTTATGAATCTCCTCACCCACATGTTTTTTTCCTTGTGTGATACAGCAGAGTGGCATTCTGTATTTGAAGATTTTCTTTCCTAACTTTTTTACTTTAATACAAACTTAAAAGATAATTTTTAGTGACCACAATGTATAAGAGCAGCAGCAATCGGTCTGAAAGTGCTAATGATCCAAGTTATGCTATAACAACTAAAGATGAGATTGTTCAGAATATTAATGGTTGCCAGTAGGAAGGCAAGGAGGAAGAAGCTACAGCACAAATGGAACAATACAATTTCCTTATTGCTAGCATTGATCATTTGATTAATTATGTTCCCAACAGCGAATATTCAGGTTTTTGCAGTTTGTCAACACCTTAGATGGGGGGCAAACAACTGATCCTCTAGGATGCCAATGAAAAAATTTGATGGGTCAAATTGGATATTAATTTGGTAAGATTTGAAAAACCAAACACCTTCATCCAGTGAAGCCTCAGCCAAAGCTGAGTCAGTCAAACACTTGTACAGTAATTTTACAGTAAGGTTATTGTACAGAATTAACCCTTTAAGTGTGGTTATCATCATAAATAAATTCACGGAGTAATGTAGTTATCGTCATACTTTGATTTAAACTATTATTGTATGGGTTTTACACCAATGATCTTAATATGGAAAGAATAGCTCTATATGGATGTAGTACAGTTTACCTTGACCCATGAAAAAGTCCTGCTAACAATTGAAATGCAGTTATTGTCACAAGTGTTCCTAATTCCTTTCCCCCATCTCATTCCAAATCCTTATCCTGATCCCTTCCAAATGCTATATAGGTGTAATGGGTTGGAACTTTCTCCTGATAGTCCCCTCCCTTCCCTCACAAGTGTTACTATGGCAATACAGTAATTGTCATGGTATAAAATTCTATTATAATTACATATGTATACAGGTACTGTTTATCTATGTGATTTTCACAACTCTATATGGTTGTAATAAAGTGGACTTGCTCAATTAGTCATCATTTGAACTTAATAAAGAAACCACAGAAGACCTATTGGCCCATTTGAGATGGTTATGAGTAATATGAGACACCATATTATCTGCATTTGTGAGCCAAGACCATAATTATATGTTGTCAAAAAAAATAAAAAATTCCTCCCGTTATTTTCTAAGTGGATGATTTTCTCTTAGGTCAATGTTGTGTATCCGAGTGAAGATGATGTTCGTAACAGCAGCCAAGGATGGATGGGTGGCTCCTGCCTACCATATAATTCAGCTACACATGAGAAGCAGACTTGGTTACTACAGCATTTTCAGTTAGTATTTTACTGTACTTTGTTGCTCATTATTTATTCTGAAATAGCTTCAAAGCCTTTGACAATAAATTAAATTTGTTGTTTCTAGTAGAGCCCCTTCAGTAACTTCCTGAGCTACACACTGGTACTCCTGGCAGACCTTCTGCACCACACCAGGCCCTGATGATTCATCATCACCTACTGGAAACCAGTACAGTACCAAAATGTGGTCCATTCAGTAGAAAGGGAAGTCTGGGGATCTAGGACCCCCACAGTAAGCAAGAGAAAGACCACCAGAAAGGTAGAGCATATAAAAATAGCCATCTGCATGAATCACATTGGCAACCTTGACCCTAACTATGTAAACAGTCAATATCTGGATCGAGCCTCTGGTTCATTAAAAAAATGAGTGGTAGCTACTAATGAGTGTTCATTATACCCAATCACCAACAGATAGTAGCCCCAGCCACCAGAGGCCCCAAGTTACCTTCATTCATGCACCTGGTGTTGCCCTGTCCAATACTGCACCACTCTACTGGGTCTGTAGTTGTCTTTACGGATAAGTGTTCACTTTACTTTAGACTTTGTCCGGCATAGGGGCCCATGCTTTCTTGTTCCTTTTAGCTTCACATGCATGTTTCGTACTTCAGTGTGTGTATCCAAATTTAATGTTTGCCACGGTTCTCTTCCTTGGGGGATGTTAGCATTACTTCTGCATTTATCCAGAGTTATCACCTCAGAATGAACCACTGAGGACAAACTCCTGGGAAGTCATCAGCTGGGTTGTCTGCGAGTCCAGTCTGGTAAGGAAAGAACAGCTCACTTGCTGAATCCCTTGGAAATATCAATCAAAACAAGGCATCCCAGACTCAACCCAACCAAGTTTGAGGTTATCTTGAGAAGTTATCTTGAGATGGTTTCGGGGCTTTAGTGTCCCCGCGGCCCGGTCCTCGACCAGGCCTCCACCCCCAGGAAGCATCCTGTGACAGCTGACTAAGACCCAGGTACCTATTTTACTGCTAGGTAACAGGGGCATAGGGTGAAAGAAACTCTGCCCATTGTTTCTCGCCGGCGCCCGGGATCGAACCCGGGACCACAGGATCACAAGTCCAGTGTGCTGTCCGCTCGGCCGACCGGCTCCCAAACCTGAAGGAGCCTGAACCTGACGGAGCAACATGATACCTTTCTCCAGTTAGCAAGGGAACCTAAAATGTACCAACTGGGAAATGGTTCCAGTTTGTGGCAACAGGTAGTTACTAAGTGCCCTACCAGAAAATGTAGATACCAGTTATGTGCTGTTATTTAATTTAATGTACAAATAATTTTTTATGTTTACAGTGTCTGGCGAAGTGAAAAGAGAAAACGAACGCGGGTTATGCCACACATCAAGACCTATACCCGGCTAAACAAGAGTTGCTCATCAGCACAGTTTTTGCTTCTTACTTCAGCAAATCTGTCGAAGGCAGCATGGGGAATGCTGCAGAAGCAAAATACTCAGTTATTTATTCGATCATATGAAGCAGGAGTCCTGATTCTTCCCAAATTTCTTGTAAGATTTATGTTAGAATATTAGTAATGAGTATTATTGTTAAGTTACTAACAAATATCCCAATTCAAACATGAAATAAAATTAAACTGATGATCTTTAAGTTTTGTCTTGGCTTTGGGGAATGACTGACATTTGTTTTGAGGCATCTGGCTTCCTGCTTTTTTGTTTGATTCTGGCTCCTCAGTTTTTTCTGGTTTTCTAGCCCAGAAAATTTTTGCCCAGTGGTATTTTTTTTATGTCTATATTTTGTTCTACCTTAACGACTGGCTAGTTTAGGCCCCTAGCCAATTTGCATGTGACCTGGACATCTTCAGCAGAACACTATTCATTAATTATTCATTAATTTAATTTCCTTGGTTTCCTGTTCCAAGCCTTGTTAGTCTCATGGCATCCACAGTGTCGTTAAGTATAGTGAGCCTTCAATCCACCCTTGGGCTCATGTTTAAAAGTTTGCTGCTTTCTCCGATATTAGAAAAACATGTCTTAGACTGTTATCCAGGCTTGAGGGTTCTGGTTATCTTGAGTTGCCTGGTGGCTTATAGTCAAGTCAAGTGTCCCTGGTCACCTTTGGGCTTGAGTTGCCTTGGTTGGGGCTTCTCTTCCTGGACTTTTCCCTTCGGGGATTTGATCCCAGCTCTCCTTTCCTGGTGAGTCCCTTTTTTCTATTCCCTGTGGTTATTTAGGAACAGAGAACCACCATCCAGCCCCTCCAGAAAACCAGCATTGAACGTAATTAAGTGCCTCTTTTTGGAGGGGCCTCGGTAGCTTCCTGGACCCTCCCTCCCTATCAGGTTCATCCTATCCCTCCAATTGGTCTTAGGCTTTGGATTGATTGTTGTTGACATGGGGAGCCAGCAGCTCCTGCCATCTGCCAGCAGTAACTGAAGGAGCTATGACCTAACTTCTGGGTGGATCATATGTGAATTTTGTAATTATCTGTTTTGCATCACTTCATTTCTAAAGGGTTTCTTCATTCTGGGTGATCTAGAGTCCTCCTGCTTTCTGTGCCTCTGAAAAGGGGCACAGAAAAGTACTGAGGAAGGAAGGAAGGAGGGGGAAGTACTTAGGGATTGACCAGAAAAGTTCATTTCATTACATTCAATGCTCTATTTTAATTTCTAAAATGAGTTTCATCTTCAATTTTCAGAATGATGGCGAAGAATTTAATTTATCATTGCCAGGTACCCCAGACTGCCTCTCTCTGCCATATGACGTCCCACTGGCTCCATATCCAGATGGAACAATGCCTTGGTTAATGAACACAAGCAAAAAACAGCCTGATATTTTTGGCCGTACATACCCATAAAATGTTAAAATCTTATCATTATTAGTTATCTCAGGTAAATCTTTTATTTTGGGGGAGGCTAGTCCCCTTAGTGGTTCTCTTATCTTATGTCACTCACAGTTAGGACATTGTGAATACACCTGACTAGGTGATTATCTCAACCCATCAAGAACAAGTATCTTTGCTGATAATTTTGCCCCCCCCCCTTCCCCTATGGGACTGGTGAACACACATGGATCAAAAGATAGATCCATTACTGAGGTGAACTTTTCACAATAACACAGAGATATACAGAAATACACTCGATCTCCCACTCAGTTATGTTTGGAAACACTGAATTATCAAACAAAAATCTGGATTACCTAATCATCTCGGATATCACTAGATGATGTCCACAAGAGATGGCAGGAGCCCACTCAACTAGGGAATTGGAGAAGATAGCCACTTCTTTCTTGCTTGATGCATCACCATAATCTGAATACCTATGGATCTTGGCTGAGACACTTTAGATAAAGTATTAAGATAAATTTCCTGGCCATCTTTAGGGCTTAAAACAACTATGCATCGACAACCAAGTTTTAAAATAATTTTACAACATGCTTGCCAGATTTAATTGTATGTCTGTTTGCTACTGTTGTTCTTCAGCTTGGTTTCAAAAACCATATCTCTTGCATTGTTATAAGATCAGTAACCACCAGTGATATCTTCTCTATCACTGAGAATAACATAACTAAGGTGGTTATGTTATAACCACCTTAGTTATAACCACCCACCTAACATAACTAAGGTTACCCCTTTGGGAAGACTTCTTGAGTCAATGAGAAAATCCACTTGGGTTATGTGGTGGACGCGAACCTATGACCCCAGCAGTGGTTTACCTCAGTTGTTGGTTGATCTCTGGTCTTCACATGGCTCCCCTCCTTGTTAAAGGGGCAAGATAAACTGTTTCTTTTTTCCTAGTGAGCCGATATAGTTAATAGGAGACAAGCTTATTCACAATGTCCTAACTGGGCTAGTAACATAAGCAAGGAGAGCCACCAGTGTACTGATCAGAAGGGAGAATTTGGTACACTAGTGCCCTCTATTTTTGTTGGAGGGAGTGTAGGTGATTACAATAGTTATTTTATTATATTTATATACCAACTTTTATGTGCCTCACATGTGTCAATTCACTGATGCAGTACACTTTATACACTTGTCTTAAAGATTTTCTGATTGGTCATAAAACAACCAGATTTCTGTGGGGTCCCCATTGGCTCCCTGAAGCTATCCAAATTGACATGTGCCATATTATTTTGGTGTCATCGGTCCCTGGAGTTTTGTGCCTACCGGAGACTACAAGCCAGACGCTAGTCCCCTCAGAGAGGCGCAGGGAGCAATGGCCATGTGAGCACCCTACATTTAGATTTTGTCATGTCTTTCATAGACTAGGGATACCGCCAAAAAGGTAGAAAAACCATACAAATCTCCAACTGGTTAAAATTGCAACCTATGTCTGAACAGAGCCAACACCCACCCCCCACCCCCAAATGAAAAAAGCAAATCGTCTTCCAACTAGCTTGCCTGCTCGTTAATGCTCTTCCCCCCCCCTCCCCCAACAGGGGAAGCTCGCTCAGGCGAGCTGGCTCGACCCCTCGGTTCATTGACTGCTGTGCCTGGTGTCAAGATGTCTCCTCTAGCCTAGCTTTCCTGTCTGGATGGAACAGCCCTTGTGGCTGTTCCAGCTGTGTGAGGGGTTTTGGCCAGGTGTTCTCATTATGCTAGGCTGCATGTGCCTAGGATTACCTTCCCTAGGTTCCCAGTAAGTACTTTCCTTGTGTTCTAGGGTTTTCTTCCCTGAGACGTTTGGGTCTCACTTCCATTTGAGGGCTTCATCGCTTGTTGTTGTTCTCGCCCTTGGGATACATCGGGAGTCTTTGGCTTCCTGTCTTGCCCCAGGTAGGGAGTGGATTTTACTAGGTGGGATGCACTGAGGCCTGCGCAGCTTGCATACACGCGACTGGCTTGTGGCGGCCAAGCGTTCATAGCGACGGCGGATTCAGCTTCCTTCAGGCTCTCTGATCCAGCTTCATTCGAATTACACCCCTGTGGTTCATTGTCTCAAATGTGGGGGGAGGTGTGCTCGTTAGCACACGAGCATACCACCTTTCTGGTGGTATCCCCAGTCGATGGCAGACATGACAAACTCTGAATGTAGATTGCTCATATGGCCATTGCTCCCTGTGCCTTTCTGAGGGGACCAGATTCTGGCTCATAGTCTCCAGTATGCACAGAACTCCAGGGACCGATGACACCAAACTAATATGGCACATGTCAGTTTGGATAGCTTCAGGGAGCCTCCAGGGCTCGCCCAGAAAATGGTGTTTCATTACATTCAACGACGGTTGTATTGGAATATTTTAAAGCTAATAGTTTGTTATTTTATGTAAATATGGCATGGACTAAAGCAGTGTTCTTCAAACTCAGGGTCACAACCTGTTACTGGGTTGTCGTAGATTATTACGTGGGTCTTCCATAAAGATTAAAACTCATATTGGTGCATAAAATTTGTCATTTAGCATAATAATAATAATAATGGTACAGTAATAGTAATAATAATGATATAGTATTCATAAAGATGATAATACTAATGATTTAATTTCATATTAAAAAACTATTTTTTATGCAGATAAATGAGTCACAAAACGTGGCTGTAGATATGATGACCAGATCCCTCATCAGATGGAGAAACGATGGACAGACTGAAATTTCGTTGTTATCCATCTTCTGTTGTGTGGTTTGGTCATCAAACTATGTTTTATAATGTTTTTTCTGAAAACTTGAGCTATCATTTATTAACTTTGAATCATGATCAAAATTTTTTTTCTTATACTGGATTGTGTGAGAAAAAATTTGAAGAACACTGGCATAAAGGATATAAAGGGTTCCGATGTAATATACTGTATCAGTTTAAGTATTTATATATTTTGCAAATATTTAAACAAAAATTACCAGTCTTTTTACTTGCATTCCTGAGAAAACCCACTGTTGAATGTAATAGAACATCTTTGGATGAGCCCAAGTGGCTCCATGAAACTTTTTCACTGAGATGACTCCCAAGTACTACAAGTACTAGGTCACATTAGCAGCAGAGTTTTGTTTGGCCTACTGGAGACTAGAGTAAGAATCAAACGTAAAGCCAGAGACTCAGTTGTTTAAACCATACCGGAAGACACCCACACCACAATGACTCAAATAAAGTGTACTCTTGCCCCTGAAGGGGGGAGGTTCTTACCAACTGCATCGAAGACCTCAAACGACCTAAAAGCCCACAAATCATGATAACAGGAGTCGACATACCAGGTGAGCTGCCACTCCTTCTGCCCTGTCAATGGATGAACCACAAAAGGGCCTGCAAGAACCACGACAGCAGTGTCTTTCCTTTAGGCGTGAGACTGGTGCCAAGAGCAGAAGTGGAACCAACAGAAGAAGGCATAGACCCGACTCTGTCTCCAATGATGGGCCTACCCCAACCAGCAGTGGGCAAACCTCTAGCCCTACCAAACTGCTTCCGAAAGTGAGGACAAGAACTATGATGAGATGGACCGGGTAAATGCAGCAATTGCTTCCTGAAAAATGGGTGCATATAGCCAGGCAATTCCGCTGAGGCTGCCATGGCAGGCAACAAGGCACCCTCACTAGACCTACGGCCAATCGAATCAACATCATGGAGGCAGTCAGAATGAAGAACCATGAGGGCAAGAAAACGGACAACTTGAACAAAGTGCGAGCGAGCCCACGAGGCCTGCAGACAGGAAGGACAACAGGGCATGCAGTTGCACCAACCCAACTTACCAGGAAAGAGCGGGAGCAAACGGGCAGTCATTGAGTGACTCAAAAGATGAACCACCCAAAAACGCCTGAAATATATTCAAAACCTCACGACACTCGAGTATGTGGAACAACAGAAACCACACCAGGTGCCAAATGGAACAAAAGGATTGTCCCAGGAAGACTGGAACCTCATGAGCATGGCCAGTATGGGAAAGAACACCCCAAACTCGAAAGAGGCAGGGGTCCACCAAAGGGGTAAACTCTGGGACACAGGAGGTAATTAGAGATCTGCCCAATCCATTGAAGGGGAAATCCAAGAAAACGAAAACCTCCCCTCCAGAAGGACGAATCCGATGGACCATATGGTACGTGGAAATGATCCCTGGAGAGCTGCAGAAAGATCAAAATCATATGATGGGGGGGGTAAGAAAACCACCTTAAACAAAAGGGCCTCTCATTGGAAGAGACAAAGGATCAAGTAGGATCCAAGGGAACCTAAGGGCCCCTTTCCACTTCCTCAAGCCCTAGAAACAAAACTTTGGGACAGAGTTATAGTCCACACCCACCACCTGAGATAGAAAAGCAAGGAAATTTCGGAAGAAAGGTTAGCTGGATAAAAGAAAACTCTGAAACCTTGTCAGGACTAGCCAGCTCAACCGATCCATGCATGAAGTGGAAGAAGCCACCCCCGGAAAAGGCCGAGCCACATCACGAACTAAACCCTGCCCTGACCCTAAAACCCTCGGACGTTTCAGAGCTGGAAGAGTGGGGGGGGGGGGGACAAGCCGTGCGCACCACACCAGAAGAAGGAAGAGGAGGTGCAGGTGGAACCAGCGTGGAAGCCACTGACACCTCCAATTGCTCTTTTGTCTAGACCCATGGTTGACGGCGAACATTTTGGCTGGTTGAGGCACACTTGTTTTACATGTGGTAGGCCTTCACAGCTGCATTGGCTAGGCTGTCTGTCTACATATATAATTCCCAGCGAGCGTTCCCAGTGCCTGGATGTCTTACTTGGTCGGTCCTTTGGGTGCTGGTAATCCCCTGCAGGTTCACTAAGGCCTATGGATGTATCCTCCAAATTCGCTCTTCCCTTTGGGTGAGTTTGAGCGGTCCGTCTAATTACCCAAAGCTTCCTAACATTACGTAAGTGATGAAGAAATGTGACATATTTACTCACTATAATGTTGGTGATAAATGTAGAACATGAAAAAAAAACATATTTTTCCTCTGAAATAATATAATTTTATAAGGAAATTGGGTCCATCTAATTACCCAAAGCCACAACATTGTCGCTTTGGGCGTAGACTTCCTAGTTTCGTCTAATTTCGTTATAAAATTATATAATTTCAGAGTAAAATATATTTTTTCGTGTTCTACATTCAGTACTTACATTATAGTGAGTAAATATATAATATGCCTTCATCACTTAGGTAATGCTAGGAATCTTTGGGCTTTGGGTAATTAGATGGACCGGTGAATGGGCCCGGTTGTTAAACGATATGGCGGGTCGTGTTCCGGGGAAAATTAGTATTAGTTATAAGAACTTGCCTGAAACATTGCACGTGCTTGTGGCTATACAAGAATGTAAGAACACTTGTATATATAAATAAATAAAAAGCATGTGGTAGCTTTTTCATATTAACAAGCTTAGGTAGACAGCAATGTGCTGGTACCCTATTCTAAATGAAAAATTATGCAGTGTAGGTAAAAAAAATAGCTATAAGTTCATCTAATATTCCCATCTCACAAGAGTCTTAATCATACATGGAATCAGGGGAGCAAACATTAGCCTCATTACAAAAACAAATCAACTCTGAACAAATCGTCAAGGGCCGTGACGTGGATTTGTTCATTTGATGCATCACGCCATTGTGATTTGTGTGTGTAAATCAACTCTGACTAAATATCACTGGAGATGTAAGGTTGACCTATAAGCCTCCACCAGCAAAATCTGGGTATAGCATAAGAATATCTTCCAATATTCCTAAGTGTATGAAGTAATTACAGAGTTCAAAGTACCTTATACCATTTGGTCTGAAGTCACTTATAACAGGGCAATCACAGATATAGTGTTGGTGAGTATGTCCCAGCTCTTGTTCACATAGTTTACAATTGGAATATTCACCATTGGGGGCTATTCATTACCTGCAGCCACCTGCGATACATATCAATATCCTAGCCTAATTCTGGCAATTACAATGTCACACTGTCATTGTGACACTAGTGGAAGTTTTATGCTGTCCGTTCATATAATTCTCGATTCTAAACATGTTTACTTAGTTTAGTTCATTAATTATGCACCCCATATATCATCTTGTGGGCGGTAGTGGAAAAAGTTACAGAGGCACGTAAACATGTCATAGCTCTTTATACTCTTGCTTTCTGGCTTTTGTGTGTCAGTGACTGCTCTTCTGTCTTCCCTAATTTCCTAAAATATTGTGGCTTTGACAGAAGAGATTGGAATGCCCATATCCCACTCAACTTCAGGCTTATCACATTCAGTTTTAGCTGCCTTGTTTGTGTCATCATGCTGGACAACACCTATATGAGAAGGTATCCATACAAATGAGACTTTGAAACTCCTACTGTTTGCAATAATAATGTTGTTTATAATGGAAGTTATAACTACAACCTTTTGAAGATCAATGCTAATTTTATCTAGATAATGTAATAAACGAAAGTTTTCTATGTCAACAGAAAGGCAGAAATATAAACTACACTTTAAATACTTGTCATAAATATAACTGAAGTGAAAGCGAAGATATATGCATTTGATACTGTACAGTTTCTTGATGGCTTGCTCTAAGAGTGTGAAGCCCTTCACACCAGCCTATAAATTGTGTAATTTATTTCCATATATGCTAATTAACCTTAAAATCTATATGTCAGAAGGAAGGAAGATGTAGACGTTAATGTGACAACATTTCAAGAAATATCTCTCTCTTTAAAGTTAAATAATACAATCCTATCTCCGGTGTCCGGACACATGAAAGCTACTTAGGTATCAGTGGCCAGCCAGGTGGAGATCACAGGCTGTACAATACTGATAAATTATGTAATTCACAGAGATACGTTGATAAATATTAATGTTTTATATTTTATTAAAAATACAGATATATACTTTGTTTCATACGTTAAATGTAACAATATTTCAGTATATATTATATAAGCATAGTATATATAATTCAGTATATACAATATATAATAAGAGTGTCAGACCACGGAGGAAGAATTGAAACAGGAATTTCCTTTAGTACTTTCTTATATTAATACATCTTCAGAGCGAACCATTCCTTCTGAAGATGTATTAATATACGAAAGTACTTAGAGCATTCTATTGTGGTTTTAATGTTGAACAATTATACATATACGAAACAGACAAATCTGGTGTCCGAAATAGTAAAAATATTAGTGTGCGATGTGATCAATGTAAGGGGGATATTGGGTGTGCCTCGTATCCCCTACAACAACAAGAAGTTCGAGAACGATGAGGCCGCCACCTACTAGCTTCAGGATGTCGTCGAATCTAAATCAACAATATACTACCGCCGCTACTTTCTCGGAAACGTAAGTACCTGCCGCTTTACTTCTCTCACCCTGCCTAGCCTGGCCTGGCCTGACCTGGCCTAGCCAGACCTGACCAGACCCGACCTGGCCTAGCCTTACCTAGCCTAGTCTGACCTGGCCTAGTCTGACCTGACCTGGCCTAGCCTTACCCAACACTAATCACCACACGTGACAGCCCAAACGAATCGCAAATAAGTACACGTAACAAGTCATATGCCCGGACACTCTTTCACCTTGGGGACTGAGTGGTAACTATTGTATAGAAGAGCCGGCTCCCTGAGAGTGGTAAGAGGGCGTGATAAGAGGCTAACGTGTGGTCTTGAAGGAAGTCGATAAAGCAGACAATTTTCAAAAGGAAGGGCAGCATAACGAGCAGACAGGAATGGACAGACAGTCGGTTATCCCATAATGTGTAATACGCCCCGCACAGCATGGGTGGAGTGGGGGGGGGGTTGTAGCAGGGCACAGTATGGTGATGATGCGGGTGAAGTACACACCCACTGAATTCCTGCCATCAATAATTGTTTTCATAACCATTAGAACAATGGCATCCCTCCAGCCACCATCCTTCCACTGACCCCCTCCTCTGGTCCTCCACCTTAGACAA